TGTGAACCTCAACGTCCGACTTTCCATCCATAGCTCGACTATGGATGAATACGTCATCGAAATAACTCGGCGCGAATTCTCGTACTGGTCTCAACAGATGTGATACACATCTGTTGAACGTGGCAGGGGCATTACTGAGCCCTTGTGGCATTACTAGCCATTCCCAGAGCATGCCGCTAGGCGTGCTAACTGCGGTATAGGGTATATCCCGTTCCCGCATTAGGATTTGATAGAAGCCATCCATCAAATCCATGGACGAAAAGATGGTACTCTTTGACATACCATCAATGATTACGTCCTTCCTCGGTATCGGCGTCTGAGCCGGTACCGTTGCAGCGTTCAATTTGTTGAACGCGTGCACTATCCGCCACCCTCCTGTTGCTTTTCGCACACAGAAGGTCGGAGAGCTATGTGGGGAAGTTGATTCCCTCACATGGCCCGCTGCTAAACGATCGGCAAAGAACTTGTCGATCGCAAGTACTTGTTCACGAGGCAGTGGCCACTGCTTCATGACACAGTACTTCGAGCCTGGTTTAAGCTCGACTTCGTGTCGAATACCTTTATCCTTCGGTAATTCGCACGGAACAGTTTCAGGGAATACATCCTTGAATTCAACCAAATCTTCATAGAGAGGATTTTCCTTGAGCGATTCCCATGATTGGGACTCATATCGCTCAATTCGTGTCTTTTCATCTAGGACACTCTCGTCCATAGATGAACTACTGAGAACTCTCTCGTTCTCAGTAAACACTGTTGCTGACCTTATGTCGGTTACATACTCGTCTTCAGCGACGAGTATGCAGATCTGCTTGACTTTGCCACTACGCAGATCACGCAAGAACCTTTTATGTTCGAGCGTTGGCAACTGAGTGATCTCCGAAGTTAACTTCGGAGGCGCAATCAGATCAAGTGTATAAGCGCCTACACATGATCCGTTATTGACTATGACATTCAATGTCTCTGTCATTTCCTGGGGACTTATTCCCTCAGGCTTCGAAGGACTTATTCCTTCGTCTTCCCGGGGACTTATTCCCGCGGGTTTCGGGGAACTTATTTCCGCCGTATTTGTAATCTTGGGACTTATTCCCTTTACTTCCTCTAGCTGGGGTTGCGCAACCACAGCGAGATCCTCTACGAAAGACTCTCCAGTCGATCTAGGATTATCGTTTCGCTTAACCTGAGCGATCGATTGTTTCTCTTCTAGATGTTCCCCGCTAGGGATACATCTTTGTCCCAGTCCACCCGACTTATTCGAGTGGTGGACCTTCGGCGCAGCCTGTGTTTCCTCACAGCCGCCGGAACTTTGCTCCGAAGTGTAACCGTTTGGTACACTAAGGTTTTGTGCAGTCGTACTAACGACCGTACCACAAGTGAGGCCATCGCACTCACTCGTAGTACATCCACACGCTTGTGGACGCTCCAAAACGTTCATCAGATGGCCATCTGATGAACAAGCGGCAGGCATCGTTACTGTCCGATGTTGCCAGTTTACCCGTGGTTCGTACCTTCTGAGCCACGGTATTCCAAGGATGACATCAAATTTGTCATCCAAATCCAATACGATAAAGTCATCGTCGTATTGGGTATCTTCTAGCGTATAGTGAATCTTCACTATACGCTTCATGACGGTTACGGATGCGCCTGTCGCAAGACGTACCGTCATCCTCGTAGGAGGTGTGTCACATTCACTGAATTTAAAGTGACCATCTTCTAGCGATTGGCGTCGCACAAAATTGTTGGACGCCCCACAATCGACTAGAGCTCGAAGGGACAACTTATTCGTCACTTCGAGTTTCAAGGTAATGAGTGAGATCTCATTACCTAGAGCAGCAACGCACAATGTCTGTGTGTTGGGAGCAACCTTCATCAAGAGGCCTACAAATTCTCTTGACGTTGCTGGATCAGTAGGGTGCTCCGCACCTACTGATCCTGTCCGTTTTTTGACGGTCCATCCCGTTGTTGCGTCTTTGCACCAACTGCGGACCCTCGTCCCTGCCCCTTTCTCATGGGTGGACGGTCACTACGCCCAGTGTCGCGAGACACTGGACGAGGGGCACTACACTCGTAAGCGTAGTGTCCTGTCTTTTGACATCTGTTGCATCTCTGCAACTTCTTGTAGCCTGTAGAGCGAGCCTTCTCGCTCTCTACATAACAGAGTTCCATCGGCTCTGGACCTCCGTTGTCATATCGTCTCGGTTGACGATATGATGTCGAGCTGGCGCGAGCCTGTCTCAGACTGAAGTCTTCCTGCTCCGCAATTGAAATGGCTTGTTCTAGTGAATCTAGTTCAAGCCGGAACAGGTGAGTCTTGACGGGACCATCCGCAAGACCCTGCATGAACACCGAAACCAACGTGTGTTCATCCACCGGATTGGAACTTATACAACTCGTGAGATGTCGTATATGTTGAGCGTAAGCGTGCACATCACGCTTACCCTGCTTGAGCTTCAAGAGTTCGGTTCGAGCTCTGAACTCAGCTCTAGGCGGTTCAAACGTTTGTCTGAGCCGCGACTTGAAGACTTCCAACGACCCAAACGCGTATGGGTCGTGCAGCTTGAGCCCCAGTGCCCAAGTCTTGGCACGTCCTGCCAGATTTGACTGGGCAAATGCAACTTGCATATCCCCGTCGTCGATGCGACGCGCCCTTATGGCGTCATCCAATTCGACGAACCATCTCAAGAGGGAGTCTTCTTCGACCCCCCTATACTTTGAGATGTCAATCTTCAAAGTCTCGGGTCGACGCGAGTGCATCGACCCGCCAGCAGCAGCTTGCTGCTGTCTCAACAGTTCAAACTGTTGAGCACCTTGTTCTCTCAACAACTCTGCTTGTTGAGAACCTTGTTGGTGAAGCAAGGCTACTTTCTCGCGTTCTGCGTCAAGTTCATTTTGAATGAACTTGGCGATAGTAGCATGTTGGGCATCTCTATTGAGAGCCTCTAGCATGACGCTAACAGCATGGATGCCCATGGTCGAACCCATTCGTTCAACCGCATCCCATTCGACATCGCTCAAATGGGAGTAGCCGTCACGCGTAGCGTGAAAGCTTTGGTCATCTTTCATCATCCAACATATTCATGTTGGATGTGAACGCGGTCCTTGGACGGACTACGAAGTGCTACCAGGTGTAACGGGGCACCCTGAAGCTTGTACTGGTGACAGTACAAGCTACTTATTCTGATAACAGAATAAGGCGGTGCCTCGTAACTTCACGTACACTCGTACGTGCAGAGGAAGACGGTAAGAAGAAGCGAGTACTCGGTTAGAGTAAAAAGTAGAACTGTATTTATAATAGTTAATGTCTGCAATAAATCACTATTTATCTTCATCTAACTATGTCTAAATACAAATGTGTAAATCAGTTATCTGCTCACCACTCATTGCGTGCGTCTGTCGTGGCGCGTCTTCGTTGGTTGATATAATGGCCTATATCAACCAATTAGGAACTACTTGGAAGTGCTACCGAATATTGTCCTTATGACAATATTCTGAGAATATAACTCTTATAGTTATATTCTATTAACAATTTCTTATAAATTGTTATGTAACGATTCACCCCGTTACACGGAGAATCCATCAGGCTTAGAGTAGCAAGAAGAAGTTGCGAACTAAGGACCTATGTATATTCACTTTGCATTTTGCATTCACCTCGACAAGCACCTTCACAACAGTAATGATATCTGACGATGCGTAGGGGATTACTGAAAGCCACCAAGAGTGCAAATATTGGCTGCAACACCAACGTAGCGTTTGTCTGGTTGTACTAGCATCATGCGTAGTTTCGACTCAATGGTTTGTCACGTACCGAGTGGCAAGCCGGGAAGTAATGCAGCTGATTGACAGGGTGTCAAAATAGGTCACTGCAAGTGGTTTCAGTGTTATCCTGACGTTCACTGGAGCCCTAGCGCGACACCTCGACGCGTGGACACCATCCTCTGATGATGCCAACATTCAACGGACTTTCTTGATGATTGCTGCCGGTTATGCTAGACGCTGGCTTGTCATGAACTTCAACGACGAATGCAAGTGTCAAATCACGTTCAGTACTTCATAAAACGAGAAGCAACGCGTCCGGTCGCATTGTCTAAACTTTACTACAAACCGCCGGCGATGTGTACGCGCGCTGCTCGGTCACGTTTTCGTCGACCTCATGATACTGTTATGCAGTATGGGTAGCGTCGTCCAACAGGACACGCACACACGGAGCAACGACCGAATAGAAAGTCAGAGCGCCGAGCTCGTGAAGATGTGCGAGGTATTCATTCTAATCGTTTGTTGAAACGTCAAAGATCAGCTTATTCAGTCCAGCTTTGAACTCCCTGCAGATTCGTTTGTGCACGGTTGTAACTCTCAGCGTCTCAACGTGGTAACTATCGGGCCGTAGACTTACCGCACCGCATGTAAAGCTATAAAGAAACAGTGGTATCGCCATCGCAGATACCTGGTAAATACTATCTATGTCGTCGAAGCCACAGTCTCTACCTTATGAATGCAGACCAGGTCAGTCTCGCCACCAGTATCAAAGCTTTTTTGCGGCATTAGTGGTAAAGCTTTTTGTTCCACACCATTGCGCAGCCGTCTGATCTCTATTCGGCACACTCACCGTCTTCTGCCCTAATTGTGCATGAAGCGGTTGCACTGCGGCCGTCATCACACATAGCCTCCCTTGGTCTGTTTGCTCTTTTTGTGCAGAATCATGAGAGTATTGTAAATGAGAGGCGAAGGGTGCAACGATTACCCGCTCCAAATGCTCGTACGCGACAGCATCACAGGTAGAGCAAATCGTCCACTAAAGTCATCGACCACGCGAGGACTAGCTGGCACAAAGCATTAGCCACTTTTTTTACGAACACAGTCCAGTCAAATAATAATGCTCAAGAGACGACTTCGCTGGTTGCAACATCTCAATGGCTTCTTTTACCTTCTGTTTCCAATGCAGGTGTAGTTTAGTCCAGGTATCGGGATGCATGACATTCCACCAGCTCTCAGCGAACTCCCTCGAATCAAGTGATATCGGTTGGCAGAGACTCCAGCAATCCGTCGTTCATGATCCTGTGGTGTCGTGCTTCTAGAATTCCTTCCAATTGCACCAAAGCTTCGTACGAGTGCGACCGAACGAGCCCCGTGACGTGATCATCGTCATCGCCAGTAGAGCAGCTGAGCTGAATACGCGCGACTTCCGATGCGGCCGAGGTCTGTACTTGCGATCAGACGCAAACTCGTTAGCTCATGACGTGCTTCATGTCTCTATACGACCTCATTCATGATCACACCTTTTTGACCATGTCGTCCACAGCTCCCGTACCGACGTGGTCACGGCACGCCGCACACAGTGCTTTGTCGCCGCCATTTACGAGCAGCTCTTGTTTTCTCTATGGGTAATACATTCACGACATCGCAGCATTTGCTGCTTAGTAAACGAGACAAAACCGGTTTCACGTCTACCTTCGTCAAGACAATACCCACATCTTCCAGCACGTGAAGCAAATAGTCGACCGTCTCTGCTGTCATCTTCCCGACAGCACCGAATGCCCCAAGGTGTACCTCGGCCCCACCACTGACGTACCCCACATCTGTATCCGTTTCAGTAGTCAGTATCGATCGTTTCGACTGCATCTGAACCGTCGATCCCACATCTCCGACCGGCTTCATACCCGCGATTGCCGCTCCCCTTCGACGTGGAGCAAACGAGGAAGTGGCACACTGGGCCGCTTGTAACCTACTGAAGCAGTGGCAAGTTTGACCAGCATGACGTGTCGTCCTTGCACTCTTTCGAGGGTCCGAACAAGGGGTACCATTGGTAGAATTGGGGGGTTGGCAAGTCAAATGCTGTGGGCTGGACGGCGTCCGAGACGTCCGGAGTAGCGACTGCACCGTTTGCATCCTGCCATTAGATGTAGAGAGAGAAAGAGAGGAACAGAGAAGGCAACGAGTGAGGGGGAGGAGAGGGTGGACGGTCGACGGATGGATTGGTATCGATCGAAACGTACGTCCGTTCCTTGTGCCGACGTTCCCGTGCCGTTGCCTTTTTTTAAAAAGTGTTTTCGAGCACGAAACAGAGCAGCCATGTGAGACTTTTATGTTGAAACGAATAAGCGTCGAAACGATCGCTATGCGTTTCGTCGTCGTGTGAAAACTCGCATGATGCTGCTGAGCTGTAAAATACACACAGCTCAGCTTCGAACAAAAGCATGCCATTTAAGCACGTGTATACAAACTGCGTATACACTCATCGAGCAACCCACACCCATCCACCCAGTCTGCAGCGAACGAACTCGCCATCAATAAAGCCTCGATTCGTAAAATGTAGCCATCCGCAAACGGTCTTTTCGTTTGAGCCAGTCAGTCAGTCAAAGCGAGCAGCTCAGTCACTTGACGGTCACACGGCTCCTGCTCTTGTCTCGTCCGTTTCCTGCTGGCGCATTACACACCGTCAACAGCGTCGTGGATCTCCGTCTATTGCGTCCGATCCTTCTCCTCTCGGGCCTCTATACACTCGCTTGAATCGCCATGTTGCGCGTCCGCCGCCTCGTGACGCTCTGGCAGCGAGCGCAGCCACTTCCAAACGCGAGGATGCAGCAGCTCAGTCATCGTTTCACGCGTGCGTCTGCCTCTTCTTCTTCGTTGCTATTGCAGCGCCGCTGGACGTCCTGTATGACGACCAACGGCGTCGCTATGGAGTCGGACGAGTGTCGGATCAAGTTACTGGCCGAGCTCGACGTCTATTGCGACACTGGCAAGTGGCGTGAGGCTCTCGAGCTTCTAGATCACGTGGACAAGGACCAGACCATGCCGAAGCTTGATGCAGCCATGTACGAGCGGGCTATTGCTACCTGTGCTCGCACAGGCAAAGTTGAAGTGCTGCCTGGACTGCTGAACAACATGCTCGTGGACAACTTGTCGCCCACGAGTGTGACGATGGACTATATCATCCAGGCTTATCTGGCTAAAGAGCACTGGGGTCTTATTGTGCAGCTGGCGAATGAAGCCACAGCAACGGGTGTCGAGCTCTCTCCTGCTGCCTTTCACGCTATTATGGAGGCCTGTGGACAGGTGAAAGATGCTGACAGCACGATGACTATTATGGAGCACTTGAGTAATTCTGGCATGGTGCTCACGACAGACCACTACAGCGCAGCTATCCGGGCTGTGGGTATGGCTAAAAGACCGGACAAGGCGATGACGTTGTTTGTGCAGATGGAAGAGCACCACGGGCTGTTGGACGACGGAAAAGCGTTCAGTCAGCTGATTCGCAGTCAAGTGCTAAACGGAGAGCTGGAGCAGGCGCTGCAGAGCTTTGCTGTCGCCACGCAGCGCGAGTTGAGTCTGGAAGAACCGATCTACACGTGCGCGATTGATGCGCTTGTGATGAATGCGAAGTATTGGCAAGCCACGCGGTTGTTTGAACAAATGCTAGAGCGTGGCGAGAAGACGCCTACGGTGTTTTGTCTGGGTCGCGCAATGATTGCTTATGCAGGTGCTAACCGTAGCCAACATGCTCGGGCGTGCTGGAAAAAGATTGTGGAGATGAACGAGCCCAACCCGCTTCCGACAAAGTACAACAAGATGCTGCAAGGACTCACGTATGTCAAAGATACGCACCTCATAGTAGACGTGTTTGAGTACATGCAGAAGCTGTTTGAGGCCGGCCAGATCCATCAGGGTGCCTACACAACAGCTATCCGCGCTTATGGGCGACTGGGCGACACGCAAAGAGCAGTGGATTTGTTTGATGAGTACATTGAGAGCTGCAAGACCACCAAGAGAGTATCGTGCTTTGCCGGCATCTACTTAGCCCTATTCAACGCGCTTTCGCGAGACACTGTGCGTGATCCTGTGCTCAACACTCGCGACGCCAAGCGCGCTTGGACGATTATGTCTGCCAATGTACCGGTCGTGCTCGCACCAGCTTATGCTAGTCTGGCAGGCGTGTTTGCTAGTACCGGTGATATGGATACGCTCGCGGAGCTGATCGAGCATGCTGAGCAGAGCTGGGGTGCCGCGTCTGAGGCAATGCACCCGCTGGAAGTTGATGAGGACGGTACTGAAGTGGAAGCAGTTGCGATTTTTGATGGCGATGTCGTCGAGCTTGATGATGAAAGCGATGGTAGGGACAATGAGGTACTGCTGTTCAACGGTGTAATCAGCGGCTTGGGCAAGGCACGTAACGACCAAACATCGAATATCGAGGCTTACCTGGATGTGATTCTTTCACGGGGACTTCCAATCACCGATTCTACCGTGCGCGCAACGACGGACGCATGCGTCCGCTTTGAAAACTGGGACTTGATGGGAAAGCTGCTGAGAATAGTCGACGTGGACGCATGGAAGAATCCCGAAGTGTGCGCAGGGGACACGATATCAAAGTTGCTTGATGCAGGCAGGTGGAGTTTGGGTCGCCAGTGGTTGATGTTTTGCCATCGCCACGGTTTGCATCCTCCTATCCGTCGTAAAGGAGAGCTGCTACAAGAAATGTCCAAGATCAAGAGCAGGGAGTGGAAGGTTGCATACGCTTTGGCAAACGAGACCATGTCATTCCGTCGTCTGGTCCAAAACAATGTGGACAGCGTTGCCGACGCAGTTGATGTGTGCGTGAATGCTGAACGTATGGACTTGGTCGTGAAGCTTTTCGACTCCGTCGCAAGACATCCGTCACTCCGGTACTTTCGTAACAATGAGCGGGAGATGCAAGCTGATCCAGATGCATCTCAATCCTCGCAATCTGATGTGGTGCCTGTGGTGATCCCGCTTCGCATGTACAAGAACTCAATTCTGGCGCTGCTTCGTCAACCTAAGGGCGAAGATGCGGGTGGTGACAGTAGATGTATGGCCAAAGCGGAACGTATCTGCAGGCAAATGCTGGAGGTGCATGGAAAGAGTTTGGACGGCGATGCTCTGTCTATGGCTATCTCAATCAAGGCTGCGGCAGGTGACCACGATGATGTCGGGGCGCTGTACGAATCCATGCGTGCACTTGGCCTCCAGCCCAACTCATACGCTCAAAACGCGGCGATTGTCGCCTTCTCACGTCAGCGTCGCACCGACCAAGTGCTTGCTATCTGCGACGAGCTCAAGTCCACTGTCGGTAAGGATGGCAAGACCCGGACGGTCGAACCGAACGTGGCCAGGTCTTTACTGCTATCGCTTGCACTTGCTCACGAAGATGAGGCTCTTCGTGACGCAGTGCAGACTCTGCCTGGGTGTACTATGGACGTTGCATTGAACGTGCTGGTGGGTATCAACCGAGCTGTCGACTCGGTGGAGTTCTTTGATGAAAACGTGTCCGCCGACACGTTCGAGTCGCTTTTTCGTAAGCTGTGTCAGTCTGACAACCCCGTCCTTGGCGCAACGCTTCTGCTCAAGTACGCGCGGCTGCATGGATTGACCGAGGTGCATCCCAAGCGTGTGATCCGTGTGACTAACGCTCTTGCCAAAACGGGCAACTTTGTTGAGGCAGAGAAGTTGTTGCAAATGTACTTGGACGGAAGCAACGGTGTCTCCCTGAAGCAAATGCCGGCATACTTCCAGCAGCACACGATTGAGATGCTGCTTTTCATTTATGGTGAATTCGGCCGCTTTGATGCTATGCGTGCACTTTTTGAGAAGGAGTTGATGGTATCTCCGTTTGAGGTTGCCCACTATGAAGCAGCACTGGAGTATTGTGCTCAATCACGCGACGAGCTTGCCGGTGCGGTGGCTAGTTTGAAGCTGTTTGAGATGCTGCGCACTCGTGGATTTATCCAGCCGAGCGGGTACACGTATTTATTGACTCTCCAGAGCTGCTTGCGCCTTGAACGCTTAGAGCCCGCAAACGCCTCTGCGGTAAAGTCTACAGGTCAGGTCATCTTGGGCGACGTGCAAGAGCATGGGTTCCAAAAGCTAGTGGCCGACGAGCTGAGGAAGCAAGTATTATCCGCATACAAGCAGGTTCAGGTCGAGAGTCGGAAGCCAATTCGTCGGATCAGCAAGGAGGGTAACTCACCGGATACTAGCGTTATGGGTCCCGAGGAGCTTGCGCGCATAGCGCTCTTTTGTCACCACCACGGCATGCCTGTCACAGAGGATCTGATGGATAAACTGTTGAAACTGCACCGACACTTGCCAGCAATGCTCGCGAATGAGTTGGCGTCTGTCAAGCACCAGCTCCAAAAGGGACCGGACACGTTTGCTACTCTTGGCTCGGGAGTCAAGAACCGACCGCCAAAGCGGGTGATTGTGGAGCGAAGTGCTGCCAAAACGAAGCGCGTGGCTCCTGTTTTTGCACAAGAGTCTGGCCAGAGACGACCGCGTAGCAAGAGCTACCAGGCTGCCGTGCGTGCGGCCACTGATGCGCGGTGGGGCGCTGTCCTCGAGCGCATTGTGACGGACAAGGACTAGAGCAGGTCTACTGCTTGCCTGTATTTACTCACACGTGGACAACTAAGAGGCCTTGTACAGCCAGCAATAAAAAGCCGTGGAAAAAGTGGGGCACATGTGAGCACTGAGCTGTGACGATGGATTTGGTGCAACGACTACCATCTCCTTTTTACCGTGTCGACAGCCTGCACATAGATGTCCATCCATCTCATGTGTGGAGGAGGTTGAACTGATTTTGGCTTACAGGAGACTCTTGTTTACGGCTTGACTTCAAGATCAGAATTGTTGACTGATTACATGACGTTCTGACATCGTGAAAAAAAAGTTAAAAGGACAGAGTAGTAGTACCTACCTACGAAAGCTTATGATCGGTGGCGTCTTTGCACAACTTCAGTACCGACACTGGCCATTGGATCAAGAAAGTGACAGGGTAGAGCGGCCGCTTACGCCAGCATTCGTGCTCTAAAATTGCAAAATGTTTGCTGTTCGTGGCGCCACTTCGCCACATTCGTTCAAACAGCACTGTTCAACAGGTTTTTGCGCTTTTCTAATATGCTCGACTGCTCATCAAGCAAGAAGAGAAAATAATCGGCACGCGTTACGCAGCACGAAGCGCAAAGGCTACTCAGTTGGAACGTCTGCCTGTACTTGGCAAAATGAAGTGTCTTACGAGCAATGGCGAGAACAGAGTAGTACGATAACTGCATTAAGCTTGTAGCAATGACCAACTGAACATTTACTGCTTCTTCTAGAATGTGCAAGCATCATGGGTGTCGTCTGAACACTAGCCTCGCAGCACAAACAATCGTTTATAACGCGCATTGCATCTACTCTTTCGACGCTTCCGAGCATGATCGCACAGACGGTATACTGAATCGAATTGTACTCTCTCAGTCTCGAGCGAGTTTGAAAGTGACGCTGCCGTAGGTGTCGTCACCTGCAAAAACTTCGCCGTTCATCCATACTTGCCCATTTCGTTCAGCATATCATGCTGTAGGCGCAAGCGGTCGAGCTTAAGAAGGACCTCTCGTGCTATCTTTCGCTTCGCTTGCCAAAGTGTCGCTCTCTCAACACTCAAGAGTCATTACTATCGGCCACGAGTGCGATTGAGCAAGTAGACAGCATCGCTTGCGCTGATTGCAAAGGGTGGCCAGACGAAAAAGGATGAATGCGATGTACAGCAATCATTTTTGAGCGCTAACTTGCGAGTGGCAGATGTTCTGGTAATGCAAAGCTTTACCGGCAATACGATGGCCACGCAAACCTTTGTCAGCATTTTGTCGCCACATCGACTGTGTCCTTGCACGGAAATTACCAGTTGTTTACATGGTGCTTCATCTAAAATGTAACTTGAGTCGGGCGTGACCTACTTTGACACTGAGCGAGCTGTGTGTCCTACTTTCTAAATAGAGGGATAAGTTTCGAGATTTACTACCGGTGGAAATGAGAGCAATAGTGGTAAAAACAAATCCCCTTCTTGCGACTTCGATGTGCTTAGTGTAGACACACTATATTGTGGCACAACTACACGTTTTGGATGATGACGCAATCAATCTGCCGATGCTTGGTTTCGCCGAAATGTTGCAGTTATTGCAGTACATTTGGTACTGCCTCTTGACTCTCGTCGTAATGACCGAGGTAGAGATAATGGAGCGCTACCGTTTGAAAACGGACGGGATTGCGACGCGCACGTCAACGGAACAGGAGAATTGCGAGTCCAGCTGCAGCCTCTTTTTCTTTCCGCTTCCCGAGCTGCCACTGGACCAGCAGCTGCAGCTGCAGCAGCTGAGCTTTATCAACACGGATCTCGAGGTATCTCATTTCGATTTGGGGCTGCTAAACGAGTAAAAACAGACGTTTTCGATAGGTCACGTCGTTATTACATGTGATATAGCCTCTTTTAATGCGCGAAAAGCACGTTGCCTATTTGAAACGTGGCCTCACGCGTCTTTCCTCGGGTTTTGTATCTTTGGATGCAAGGTATTTTACTCCTTCACTTTTGTGAAAATCGCCTTTCGAAGTTCTAACGTCGCTGATAAAACGTTTTTTCTACATGATGCTGCAGTCGACCGTGGATCATCTATTGGATCCTTCACGCTCTAGATCTCTTGGACGCGCTTCCAGTAGAAGAAGCAACGCGTGTCATTGGTGATAGAGCTTATGCCGCTCGTTTTGAAGTTGTTGAAACCGCGTCTGAGCTTCTGGTTGAACGTCGTTTTATATGCTCGTAGAAACGCTAAAACCTTTCTGGGACGACGACCACAGTGGAGGATTTGGCGGCGGACCCAAGCAGTTGGGTCATACAGCCACCACTTATGCGTCATGTCTGACACTTGCTTTGCTTGGGACTCCCGAGTCATTCGAGGCAGTGGACCGACAGGCACTGTATCGGTTCTTTTTGTCAAGGAAGCATGCGGCTACGGGAGCCTTCACGGCTCATGATGAAGGGTGCGTGACGTTGCTATTGTGAGGACAAGAGGTGCTTGCCTTACTGACTGGATGCCGTCTCTTTTTCTTCATTGGCAGTGAGGTGGATGTCCGTGTGACGTACTGTGTCATCTCCATCGCCAGTTTGTTTGGTATCTTGACGGACGAGCTCCGGGCTGGTGTGGTGGACTACGTGCTGTCTTGCCAGACGTACGAAGGAGGCTTCGGTGGTGAGCCATGGAACGAGGCTCATGGTGGATACGCGTTCTGTGCCGTCGCGACGCTCTACATTCTCGAAGCCGTGCGTCAGATTCGCGACCTACCTGGGCTACTGCATTGGCTTGCGAACCGGCAAATGCCCTTTGAAGGCGGCTACCAGGGACGGACCAACAAGCTCGTGGACGGGTGCTATAGTTTCTGGCAGGGTGCTGTGCCAGCGCTTCTGGATGAGACTGTGCGGGAACGGTATGGCGACGACGTGGTTTATCAATGTCACCAGAGGCAGCTGCAAAAGTACATTCTACTTTGCGGGCAGGAGATTACAGGCGGCTTGCGCGACAAACCCGGCAAGCCACGTGACCACTATCACTCTTGCTATTGCCTGAGTGGCCTGTCAGTCGCGCAACACGGAGATGGCAGAGGGGAACCCATCGTGTATGGAGATGCCTCGAATCTTCTCAAGCGCACTCATCCTGCGTACAACATCGACTACGACAAGGCTTTGAAGACGATCGAGTACTTTCAGGCTAAAGGGCCTTTCCAGCCTGAGTAGAGCAGGTGACGTCCACACACACACACCATGGTACCGATGGACAATCGATAGCTTTACGCGGTCGAATGTCAACCAAACGGTAAGGCGAATGCTCGTTCTTTGTGGCATTTGCTGTATAATTGATGATCATGAAGATGAAACTTGTTCCGGCTCAGTTATCGCCCGATTGGATCAGGGATCAATGTGGGGTCGAGGTGGTGGAAAGCAAATGGTGGGAAGCGCGTGTGACCGACCAGTAATTTCAGCGACGCATTCGCTTGATTTCAAGTTTTTTTTACCAGACAAGAGTCCGTGAGTGACTATCTGCTACAAGACGCAGCACCTGGATCAACAGAGCGCTGTTCTAAACCCAGCTGTCGCGATCTACTCAACATGACACAATGAGTGAATGCACGTTTTAAGTTTTTCGCGTACTGTGGAGCATATCGGTCTGGACTGCAGATCTCTATCGCTGTCTAGCCGATGACGATTACACAGTACCATTGCACGCATTCTGTAGACAAGTTCACGCAACAGCTAGTAGCCCTTCTCCCAGTCCACTTTGTACCGTACCGGCTCGCCCTTCAAGTAGCGATTGAAGTTGTCTAGAAACATTGCGGCGACATCCTCGGGGAACACTTTCCCCGATATGTGAGGAGTGAGCAGCACCGACGGATGGTCCCACAATGGACTGTCTTTTGGAAGCGGTTCCTTCTCAAACACATCTAGCACAGCACGTGAAAATGTGCCCTTGTTCAGTGCATCAACCAGCGTCTTCTCTGATATCACGTCTCCACGTCCAATGTTCACGAACACGGGCTTGCGGGAACGACACAACTCCAGCTTGGTTTCATTCAGCACATATCGCGTCGCATTGGTGCTTGGCAGGAGGTTGATGAGGTAGTCGCTCTCGGCCAGTACTTCATCCAGGCTCGTGGTGACGTGGTCGGCACATTCGGCAAGGACAGCCATGTCATGCTTACTCACCCGGCGCTTGAAGCCAAGCACATTGTAGCCAAAGCTGCGCAGCATCTTGCCGCTGTATTGCCCAATGTCTCCGAGTCCCAGAATTCCCACCGTGACCGACTGCGTTGGACGAAAGTTGATCATGTCAATGCGCGCATACACGTGGTTCAGCTGGTACTCTTTTGCTTCCAGCAACTTTCTTTCGATCATCGTGACGTATCCCAGCACATACTGCGCCATGATTCGCGGCATCATTCCACCAGCACGAGTCAGCGTGAAGTGGGGTGAATCCTACCGGCTGCCTTCTTTAGGCAGCAGATTCAGATACGTCTCTACTCCAACGTACGTGGCTTGCACCCACTTGACGTTGCTCAAAATGTGTTGTTTGTCTTTGGGTAGATTCTCTTTGGGTGCAAGGAAGACAGGGCCACCGCTATTCGAGTCCATCATGACAACTTCTGCCTCCTCAACGGTCTTTTGCTGCTTTGACGTGAGGTTCCAGCGCGGCTCACCCGGGTCTTTCATATTGTGTCCGTGAAGCGGATTCTGTTTGTTGCCGACCAACTGGGGCAGTGGGATGTCGACAAGCTCCAGCTTCCCAGACCGGTAGAGTTCACCTGCAGGAGAGTTGGAAGCGGCAAACTTCATGCGCACATTGTCGCCAATGCCGGCAATGAACGTCATGATCGGCACTCGCATCGTTCGAGTCGTTGCGATGGAAGTCTCCTCAGGCGTCGAAGTCGAGGACGCTGTCATTGCTGCTGGAGTTGAGGTTGTTGGTGAAGAGCTCCAAAGCAAAAGTGAGCTGCTCGAAACGTTGTAAGGGACTTGCGCGGGTCGGGTGACAAGGTGGCTACACTTACAGCGTCAACTGGAAGTGTGCAAAGTCATTGTTTGTGCAAACGAGCGTGCTCGGACGCAGGAATTGATCTGCACCATTGAAACAAAAGTCTCGACGTGTCGATTTTGCACCACCTTTGCAGCAGCAGCGACCATGCGTGCAGTCTCGAAGACGATCCATGTTCCTGTCGTGTCCTTTTTGAGGGGAATGGGCAGTGCGATGCGCAAGGCCTTCGCCGCGTAGCTCACCCCTGCCGGGGACCTTTTCCGTTCCGGGAAACTGGAACTCGTGGACGTCCCGGTGCCGAAACTTGTCGGGAATAAGCAAGACCCGCTCAATGGACACAAGATGGAAGATGCAGGCGCTCCGACGTGGGACCTCACTGCGGAGCAGCAACGGGTTGTAAGACAGGCCCAAGTCATTGTCATGGATCAACATTCCGGAGGTCCGCTGTTCCTCGCGCCCGACGAAAGTTTACCTGAACCTATTCGCGACATACTCCGGAACATCGAGTGGGTGCAAGGCACGTATGTGGGTGTGGAACAGTATTTGGACCGATTACCACACGGAGGGAACGCGCTGACGACGGATCAACTGCCTACATTCACGTTGACTCGAGCTGGCGGGTTCCTGCCCCGTATCATGGGTCAGTATGTGTTCGGCTACGTTACGATGCTCGAACGAAAGCTGGTGGAAGCCCGTGACGTTCAGAATAATCGCGAGTATGCTAGAGAAGCGATGATTCAATTCAGACGACCGCAGACGATGACGGTCGGTATTTTGGGACTAGGAGATATCGGGCAGGGAGTAGGCAAGATGCTGAAAGGAGCGGGATATAACGTGCTCGGGTTCAAACGCCGCGCGAGTTCTAGGCTGGATACAGACCTCTCTGCTTGTACCGATCATGTCACGTCTGACCTTGAGACGGTGCTTTCACAGAGCGATATTATCGTGGACGTTCTACCCAGCACGAGTGCGACACGCTACTTGCTGCATGAAAACAACTTGAAGTGTTGCAGCGAGCGCCAACCAGTCTTTATCAACATCGGACGTGGTGACGTCGTTGCAGAGAAGACGATTACCGACGCTTTGGACAATGGCACGTGGTCACGTGCTGTATTGGATGTGTTTGAAGAGGAACCGCTACCACGTGAAAGTGCTTTGTGGACGCATCCATCTGTGTTGATCACTCCACACGTGTCCGGCTACGTATTTGTCGAAGACGTGGCAAGCATGTTCGTGGACAACTTCAATCGCTATTTGCAGGGTGAGCCCGTTCTGTACAAGGTGGACTGGACTTCAGGCTACTGACGGACAGTGCAGCTCGACAACTATGCGTTGGGGTTAGCTGTATCTTTGGCATTTGCAAACACTCGCCTTGAGTCGGTTCCCGACAAATGATGATGCGTCGTCTGTCCATTGAAGGTGTCTTAGCTTCTCAGTGATATGCTACAGCTTACGGGACAGTGAGCTGGACAGAAATGAACACACTAGCTTGACTACTTCGGGCAGGTAGTGCTGTTCGAGCCAGAATCTACCGCCTCGGCAATGCGAATCGAAAAGCTAGTGAACAAGTGTCAAAGTACTGCACGACTAGGATGAAAAGCTACATCGGCACATCATTTGATCGCAAAAGTTTTTGCAAGCAAACGTAACACACTGCTGCTTAGATGATGTGGTCCTCGCTGTTCTTCAAGCAGAATAATACCCTGGTTCCAATCAACATGCTGCTGCTGCTTCTTGACTGGGACGGAAGCAATACCACAAGGACTTTTGATTCGACACCTGAGTGTAATAACATGGCGCTTTGCTGGTCGTTGAGCAATCGACAGTCTCGGACTGGTATAGCTCAACGATCCATCGAGGCAGTCGGTACGGATTCGACATGTGGTTTTCGGGATCCGTGATGAGAGCCATTGCTTGGCTTGTCTGTGACGTGCTACTGAGCGCTTTTACTGCACATAGTCAGTCGATGCGCGGTATCAACAGCTTCTCGAGTTGCCGACTTGACACGACAAGTTTGACTTGTTTGTTGATGGCCTGGCTGGGTATCGCTCAAGTGTCGAGGTTCCCATGGTCAAAAGATGCAGTCCAAATGAAAGCGCGAAAGAAACGTCTTTCCACAAATGAGCTGGGAGGTGCTGGAAGTCAGTCGTCTTGTATCGTGCTATTGACGTAGTTGCGGGACGTTCGGTTCCAATTGCGTCAACCACTGCGACACCACAAACGGACATGCCTGGTCTCTTGTTACTGGCGACTGCCTACGTACTAGCGGTACTGGTGGTGTGTAGTCGTGCAAAAAAATTCCCACTACGGTTGAAGCGAAGTCCCTCTGTCACTTGATCTGGATAGTAGAATCGTGAACGACGGTCTGCTTGCAGCCTGTAAGACGAAACTATGTCCTTAGTTGCGACAGACAGCTTCGTGAACATCGGCTGATAAGTAGGTGAGGACGTCACTTGTAACTAGGTGCTGCATCTGCTAGTTCCAAATGACTATTTCTGCTCAACACTTCACTAATCACGTAGACGGTAAAAAAAATAGACATCGAGGACTTTGTCGACTTACTGCAATCGCCATCGGTCAACTGGCTGCTTACGCACACTCTTTAGAGCTTTGCGGAGCCCTTCGTGAGATCCACGACGACCTTGCCAAGGTTCTTCCGCTCGTACATATAGTCAATGGCATTCGGAATGTCTTCCAGCCCGTAAAACTTGGATGGGTCCACGCCCGCGTTCAGCACACCACGTTGTACCAGCGTCGTGAGCTTCTTGGTATGCCCGGGCGCCTCACGGATGTAGTCAGTGTAGAAAAAACCGCGCACGGAAGCGCACTTGGTCAGCAGTTTCGACGGCAGCGGCATCGTCGTCTTGTTGAGCTTGTGCTTCCACGTGCTCGAGTCCCGGTAGCCAGCAATGGCTCCAATGACAATGATGCGGCCCTTTCGCGCAATGTTGTTGACACAAGCCTCGAACATCTCTCCACCCACGCTCTCAAAGACAAGGTCCACTCCACGAGGGTACTCCTGCTTGAGCACGTCGTACACTTTCTCTTCGCGGTAGTTAATGGGGCGATCACAGCCAATCGAACGCAGGTATTCCACCTTGTCCGGCGAGCTGCACGTGCCAATCACGTGGTTCCCAGCAAGCTTTGCCAGCTGCACGGCAAATTGACCCGTTGCTCCAGCCGCTGCTGTAACCAGCACCGTCTCTCCGTGGGTCATTTGACCCACGTACTCGAGTGCCATGGACGCCGTGAGACCGCATAAGGTCATTGGTAGGACCTCTGGCACGGCAGCAGGGACTTTGACTAGACGGCGTTCTTGAGTTACCAAATGCTCGGCGAACGCGCCGTATGCTACAGGAACATCGAAGAATAAAAAGCAGAAAAAGATCGAAAAAAAGCATCCATCATCAATAGAGATACCAGTTGGTTTGCCCGCAATAATAGAGCATCACGTACAGGCAGAAACTACTGCGTCGCCTTTTTGAAGCTTCTCCACGCCCGGTCCGACGTCGAGCACAATGCCCACTGCAATTGATTATTGTTATTTAGTTTTATAAAAAAAGTGTCAGAAGTTTATTTATTCCAGAAAAAGCGTTTTTTGTTGGCGTTTCAGGATCGCGTCGTACCGGCTTCAAAGCCACAGTCAAAAGGTGGCTGGACGCCTGGCAGGTACGAGCCGTTCGTGTAGTTAATGTCGGATGCATTGATGCCGCAGTACTTGGTATGTACGAGGACGTCATCGTGACCGAGTGCTGGCAGGTGGTAGGAAACGATAGCCGTGCACGCACGAAAGTCGGTCGACAGCTTTTTACACACGATCTTGCGGGACTGAAGCATGGGAGCTGGATTGTGAAGGGGTCGCACCACTTTTTACTTCGTTTCATGTGGGATTCCAACACAGTGCGAACTTAAGGGACAGCATCGTGCCGATGGATTTCGCAGTGCAGCTTGCTTGCGTACTTGGCATTCCCCACCAATGAACAGATCGTGCTTGCCACCGTCAACTTAACGAAAGACAAATTGTAGTTATTATCAAGAAAACGCACCGCACTTCTTCACTCAACATGCACAACTTCCTCGTTATAGCGCCATGTCAACGTCGGTGTCCATAGACTGCGAGACAGCAAACGAGAGCTTTCCATTGCTCTCGGTGATCTCCACTTGGGTCTTTGCATGAAGTTGGCCGGATATGATGAGCTTGCTCAAGTCCGTCACGACGTGCTTCTCAATGTATCGCTTGATGGGGCGCGCACCGTATTGCGGCTCGTATGACTCGTCCAGAATCACATCGAGCGCAGCCGTCGTCACGTTCACGGCAATCTGGGCTTCCTTCAGCCGACTGATGACCGAATCGAACTGCAGCAGCACAATACGACGCAGCTCTTTCCGGCCTAGCGGCTCAAACACAACAATGTCGTCCAGACGGTTCAGCAGCTCCGGTCGAATGGTGTTTCGCAATTGCTGGAGCACCAACTTGCGCTGCTTTGCAAACTCGTGCTTCCGGTGACTTTCAGCATCGACAAAGTCGCCGTCTGTCTTGAACTTCTTGTTTGCACGTGGCGACAGCTCCGTTTCGAACAGCAGGTGCTCGGCGCCAATGTTCGACGTCATGATGATCACTGTGTTCGCGAAATCGACCGTGCGTCCGTGCGTGTCCGTCAGCCGACCATCATCCAGTACCTGGAGCAGAATGTTGAGCACCTTCGGGTGGGCCTTCTCGATCTCGTCCATCAGGACCACGTTGTACGGGTTACGCCGCACTGCCTCCGTGAGCTGACCTCCTTCACTAAAGCCGACGTATCCGGGTGGAGAACCGATCAGTCTCGAGACTGTGTGCTCCTCCATGTACTCGCTCATGTCAATACGCACCATGTGCTTGTCGTCATCAAAGAGTTCGTTCGCCAGTGCCTTCGCAAGTTCCGTCTTACCAACACCGGTAGGACCGAGGAAGAGAAAGCTGCCGGTCGGCTGTCCCGAGCGTGCAAGGCCTGCCCTCGAACGCAGCACTGCATCACACACGGCCTTTACTGCCTCCTCCTGTCCTACCACACGCTCGTGGATGCGCTCTTCCAGGTGCATTAGACGGTCGCCCATACTTGACGTCAGGCGGGACACCGGGATGCCCGTCCAGCGAGCAACCACTTCACAAATCTGGTCGTCACGCACAACTTCTTCGACTATTTTGTGCTGAGTCTCGTCTTCGTCTTCACGAATCTTTGCCTCCTCTGCTGCTGCAATACGGCGCTTCACGTCGGGGATAGCGTAATACTGCAGGTCAGAAGCAGTCTGCAGGTCTTGGTTGCGCTCCGCCTGCTCCGCCTTCAGCTGCAAGCTCTGTAGCTTGTCGCGGAGCTGCCGGATTTCGTTCACTCGGGTCTTTTCCGCCTCGTGACGCAGGATCAAGGGACTGAGCTCGTCCTGGATCTTGTTCAACTCTTCCTGCACCTTTTTCAGGCGCTGCTTGCTCATCTCGTCCTTCTCCTTCTCAAGAGCAGTGGCTTCGACTTGCAACTGCAGCTGTCTGCGCTCCAATTCATCAATGACTTCGGGCTGACTGTCCAGCTGGACACGGACGTTCGCGCACGCTTCATCAACGATATCGATCGCTTTATCCGGCATGAATCGTTCCTTGATGTAGCGGTCGGCGAGCTTAGCAGCAGCAACAAGAGCCGCATCCATGATCTGGACACCGTGGTGCGCTTCGTATCGCTCCTTCACGCCTCGTAGAATGCTCACCGTGTCCGTGACAGACGGCTCATTCACCATCACCTGCTGGAACCGCCGTTCAAACGCCTTGTCCTTCTCCACATGCTCGCGGTACTCGTCCAAAGTCGTAGCACCAATACACCGCAACTCGCCTCGCGCGAGCATAGGCTTCAATAGATTGGCAGCGTCCATTGCACCAGACGTCTGACCTGCCCCAAGGATTAGATGCATCTCGTCGATGAACAGGATAATCTTGCCATCACTGTCCTTCACCTCCTTCAGCACGGCTTTCAGACGCTCTTCGAACTCACCGCGGTACTTGGCACCGGCAATTAGGGCACCCATATCAAGGCTAATAAGTCTGCAGTTCAGCGACTCGGGCACGTCTCCCACGACGATCCGACGTGCTAGCCCCTCGACGATCGCTGTTTTCCCCACTCCAGGCTCGCCAATCAGCACAGGATTGTTCTTGGTTCGCCGCGACAAGATGCGGATCACGCGTCGGATCTCCTCATCCCTTCCAATCACCGGGTCGATCTTGCCTGCTTCAGCCAGCTTGACCAGGTCCTGGCCGTATTTATTGAGCGCGTCATAGTTCTCCTCGGCTGCAGCATTGGTAACGGGCCGTCCGCCTCGCATCTTTTGCACTGCGTCCTTCACTTGGTTCTCGTCCATCTGGTGGCTCTTGAGTAGTCCTGCGACCTGCGAATTGTTATACAGCGCCATCACGAGATGGTCCGCCGCCAAGTGCGAGTCCTTCATGTCCTTGCGCATCTTGTGCGCGTACTTGAACAGCTTCATGAGCGCCGAGTCCGCGCCAATGGAATCCGGCGCTGGTGTCTGGGTCGGCAGCTTCTTGAGCTGCAGCATCACGTCCTGTTGAAACCCAGTTACGTTGCCGTGGACCAAGTCCGCCACACGTTTGGCCGTGCCGTTCTTGTCGTCGAAGAGGGCGTGGGCCACGTGCAACGGCGTGAGCTGCGCGTGGCCGAGCTCTTCTGCCAGGTCGTGGGCGTTGCGCAGGTATTCGTTGGTCTTGTCGGTAAATTCCGCTGGGTTCATGGTGGCTGTGTAGAGTGGCAACCAATGAATTAATCACTTGTGTAGTAGCGTGCAAATTGGATAATGAGACCGGCTACAGGACGAGGCCTGCGACCGTGACGGGGCGAAGAAATTCCAGAGCGGACTTAAGGGAAGAGCATACTGAGTTGAGGTAAAAGTGAGGTAACGGTACCATGTGACAGGGTGCAAGTGGCTGCTGATTGGCAGACCACTTCAACATGCAATGCAGGCTCGAGAAGTATCTCGCGTGTTCGATCAAACCCAAGACCGAATATGAAAAGAACATGAACGACATTCCAGATTGTATACATGCCAGCACGTATACTGTTCCTGATAACTGGGCACGTTTCAAAAATCGCTTTCTATTTTAGCGGACTTTATTTGACAAAGTTCGTATCGGAGCTCTTTGTCAAGGCAAATAAGGTGTGGAGACCTATTTGTGGCCTTCGGTCGTACAACCCCGTGACAGATGCACGGTCGTTGTGTTCGACTGGAATGAAGTCGATCCTCACCGTCTACCACTGCACTTACGCCACAGGAGCCTTCCAAGGTTGTCGTGTACCCTATCGTACAAATGCCTCTATCCGTTTGTCATCGAAATGTATCAATAGTGACCGTCCCAACAGCGGATATGTCGACAATGACCGTCTCAAACCACTTTATGCTCGATTTATCTCTATGGCCCGCACACTGAGCGCTGTCGGAGTACAATGACTGCATTGCTTCGAAATGGGCTCGACAGAAGGTGCAGTCAACACCCTCGTCAGCAATTCTATGAATGCACGACCAACTTATAAGGCTGCGAACAAAAGCAGCTGCGCTCATACACGTCCATGTTGCAACGTCGCGATTCGCCACTGTGCCCTGCCGAAACAGAGCTTGACGTACACCCGTTTCTGACCGTGCCTTGCTGCTCTTGTACGACTTGGTTTAACTTCCTGATTCGAACGGCGAAGTGACTCGGCGCCACATATGTTCATCAGCCAAAAAGCGACACCGTCTACATTGACTTCACGTGCTTGTTGTTGTCAGCAACTAAGGACCCGAGGACGCCACTCATTGCTGCGATAAACTGCGCACTGAACTCTTTATCCGAAAACCTTGATGATGACTCGCGAGCCGCTTGCCGCATTGCAAGCGAGTCAGCAGAGGACTTCTCCAACAACGACAAGATCTCGTCCGCATACTCGTCGGCCGTGAGCGCTAGACATCCCGTCTCCGGTCTTACAATATCGGCTTTCGGGCCACCTGAGTTGTTAGCAACCACAAGCATGCCTGCTGCCATCATCTCCACGTTGCTGATACCAAAGTGCTCGTTGTACATGGTGTGCACACCAATGGAGCTCTTTGCAAGATAGCGCTTCAGCTCCGCAAAACTCGCATTGACCACAAAATCCACACGGTCAGTAATACCCAATACTTCTGCCTGCTGCTTCAGTGTCTCCACACGTGCTTCGTCGTCCGCATTGCGACAGCTTCCAAGCAAAACAAGCCGAAAGTCGCGATGGGTGGTCTTCATCTCCTCTGCATGTTTCGTCAGCAGCACCTGAACAGCCTGAAGTTGCAACAAGTGGTTCTTCTCTGGTCGGAACTGAGAAATTGAAAGCGCCATGGGCACGCGATCTTCCATACTAAAATCCATGTACTCTTGCATCACGCCACACGGCGGGTACACGATCGTAGGGGTCTTGCCCCATAGCTGCCGAATGTGATTGTACGTCCACGTCGAGTTGACCATTGTAACATCCGTGCAGTATTTGCCCACCAAGCCGTACGCACCGGCAAAGAGGCGATAGTAAATGTACTTGCCGACTGATCTCGTCGAGCTCGCAGCTATCGTTGCGTCATTGTTGAAGCCAACGTGACGCTGCTGTACTTTCGAGATCATGTCCGTGGAGATCATCGGATAGTGCACATAAGCCACGACTTTGCAGGCGTACAACAGACTTGCAATGACATACGAGAACGGACATCCCGTCGTGTCGACCCACATAAGTGGGTACAGCTGCTGCCTCGAGCTTTGCTGCAGAGCTTCGAGCGCGAGCCTCATGTGGGCCACACTCTGCCAAAACAATGTAAAGCTTGGATAGTGGCTGGGATCAAGGATCTTGTCGCGGCTTGGAAGCACCACGAGCGTCAAAGACTGTGCGACGTGCATCGTCTTCAGTTCGACGAGGTTAAACGTCTCGGCAGCACGTGTGACGAGCTCAGTGGCCGAGAGATGGTCCTCACCTGTATACAGCACAATCTGGAGCGTCTTGTCGGTCTTTTTGAACTCCTGAACCAGCGCCAATAGGGAGCAATAGAGCACCCGCTCGCCACCGCCGCCGCCATTGGCGTATGGATGGAAGACGCCGATGGTGACGGTCTTGGGAGACGTTCCGAGCGCTGCGTTACGGAGGAGAGAGAAGGCACGACGGTGAGTGAGCACAGCGATGAAAATGGCGATGAAGAGGATGAAGGCGGTGGCTAAGGGGGCGACGAGGAGGAGCTCGAGCCGCGCCATGTCGTGGACGTAGCAGGTTTGGTGCGATGGTGTGGGTGTGTGTTGAGGAGGTTGATTAATTTGGGAAGTCGGCGGTGGAATTAAAGTAAAGATTCGCAATATTGTGACAAAGGGTGTTGGGATCAATTTTACGTGACACAATGACGGCCGCAATCGTGAGTCAGCTCCGACCAAGTGATAACTCGTATTCATTTTGACAAACGTGGCTTTGATGGTGCAATTAAGTGAGCCGGTATACGACATAATTAATTTCAGTAGTCTACATCCACTTGCTCATTGACCAACGCAAAATTTGTAATATTGTCACGGCAATAGTATCTCGTCATACGGCGTAAACTGCCTTCGCTCGCGAATTCGCTCATCATTCTTGCTGCTTCGTTGGATATTAAAAAAACCCTAGTCGGTCGCAATTCAGCGATAGATGTGGTAGTTACTGCTTACGGCGAACTAAAGGAAGCCTGCTATTGCCAATCTTCGAGCACTCGTTAAATTTTCGTTCTTCCAGGTCCGCTGTAGCCATTGTTTGCTTTGCCGAACGAGTGGTGTTCAATCTTGTCTTCGTCGGTAACTAACGCATCCTACTGAGAAACCCCAGGCCGATTGTGCTGATCGGGATACTGAAAAACGACCACTATTTTATATAGGGAAATTCTAGGCTGACACACCCCATATTTACTACGCCACCCCCCTGGATAATAGACATTGGCAATGTTTCCTTATGTGCAGGTGCCTCCACTTACAATTCGAAAACCCCTTGGATAAAGATAGGTAAAGTTGCAAAAGGTGACAGGACTTGAAAGTTCACCAGAACGTGTCAATTTCGTTTTATAATCTAGATGATATTCATTAAACACAGCCGCAACCGAGCTTTGAGATAAAACCCCGTAAAATTATACCCTTTGAGTGCTTCAAGAGCTACGCAAAACTAAACTGATGGGCGATGTGTAAGCTCGTAATCAGCACTGAAGTAATTGAAAGTAGGACGTGCGGTCGCTACTCAAGCTGAGGCCTCATTCCAGACCAGCTGAAGCAAGCCGAGGAGTACATTTCAGTAGGCAGTGACGAAAGCGTTTCCTTTTTTCATGCCGTGTCACTTAGCCATTGGCGCAGCAAAAAGTTGATACTACCTCAATGATCTGCTTTTGTGAGACTTGGCTGAGGTTAGTGATCCCGTGTCATCGCCTTTTGGTGGCGCCGAATGGGAGGAAGAAAATCTTCGAGGTATCAGTTCTAACAGAGTAGTCCTACCGAGTCACGGCTTATCAAACGACCACCGGTGCCATGTTGATTCCCGAGGACCACAGTATTGTCGACAACCAAGGCGTTCCATCAGCAAATGTATCCATCAGGCGGTAAGACCCAAGAATAGAAGCGCGGGAAAAAGAAGCCCGCGTTCGGGTGCGTCGACCGTACCGGTGCAGGAAGTGTGGTAGCACTAACAGACACAGCCGTGCGGCCTTTCGTCTTGTTGAGTCCTGACACAAAAAAGCACGTCTTTCTCTTCATATTACGCTGCGAATATAATTCTGTAACTCGTGGGATTAAAGGGTTTGTGACTCGACAACCGAGAATGTATGCACCCAGGGAACAATCCCATTTGACTTGTTCGAAGCGACTACTAGCTATTATTGTTAGGGTAGAACGTTCTCCCCCAGCGATGAACCGGTCTGATCTAAAGGACTCACCCTACTATTAAACTAGAATGAAGAAAGCTGCACCAGGCTCTTTGATATGTCCAGGTCCGAACAAGTACATGTACAAGACAATTAACGCAAGCTGCCACGAGATACCTTTCGCAACACCCACGTCGGAATCATAGTCGCGATTCACAACGCAGAACACTGGGGCATGCACCACTCCGCTATAGTGCATTTTACCCCTCTTCTTACACCATTCACCTTAGGTTCCTTCATCGTATCGATACAATGTGTTGTAAGTGAAGACACGGCACCTGACGAGAAAGGTGGAGAAAATGTGCAAGATAAAGACAGCAGAGACAATTGCGCAGTCCGAACAGCTCTTGAGATAGTGAATCTCAAGACTGTAGGCAGCGTACAGTGAGATTAAGAGTAGTAGATCGGTGAGGATCGCAACCACACAATACAGCATTCTGGAAAACCACATCGACTGAGCACTCGATCTTCCTTTGCACGCGGATGCAAAGCCAACAGGTTATGAGCCCAAGTAGGTAAGTCGAGTGCGCGAGTGCCGTCCAGCGCGCAGCGGCGGCGTCTATGGCGAGGCGGCGCAACACGCAATAGGCCTTTTTCACTGTTGTCGCTCGATTCAGCCGAAGGCAAGAGACCGCACAGACTCCTCCGGCTGGATCTAGCGACAACAGAGTAGAAGATATGTGACCCGAGCTTGCACTCGTCATGGAACAACAAGCTGCGATATTCGCACGGCTCGAGGAAATCGAGAGAGAACGACTGAAGCTGCCGGCACCAACAGGAACAGCGTTTGGGCCAGGCAGGGCCGAGTCAAGAGCTCCGGTGCCAACGACGATAGCAACATAGACGTTAAGATCCATGTTCATGCGAACGACGAATTTGAGACCCACGGAGGTTGACGATCTTCACGACGTCTTTAGGACTGAGTCCAGATTACGCAACGCGAGCTTCAGGGCCAAACGAAGGGCGCTGCGACAAGAACAGCAGCAAAACTTACAACAACTTGCAGGTGCGCGCGAAGGCCTGCGGGACGCCGCGGAAGCTCAAGGTATGCAGCTGCGAGTAGTGGCAGAGGCACAAATGAGGCAATTCGCAGATCAGCGAGCTGCCATCCAAATTGTGCACGAGCAACTGCAGCAGGTCGAGCGACAATTGCTGAGCGAAGCAGGGCTTCAGCGGCAACAACAAGGCACGCTGGTAGCGCATCTGGAAGCTCAAGGGCGCAACTCACGCAGTTCTAAGCACGGCTGCTTTCTGATCGAGAAGCGCTCGCACTGCAACACGACCAGTAGACCCAAGCAGCTCAAGAGAGAGAGAAAAAACCTTTTCGGCACAAAAATGTCTTGCACGAAAAACTGGCGCTAGCAGGGCAAGAGCAGCGCTTGCAGATGCGTCAACTCAGACCAAGCAAACGCGGTCGCGCGCGAAACCATGCGCAGCACAACGCGGCAGACGTCGAGCGTCGAGTGCATGAAGCGGAAGAGCAAGGGTACGCGACACTCGAAGCAGCGGCACGCGAAGCAATGCCACGCGATGTGACGAACCGCGCAGCCGCTTAAGAGAGGCTGCAGCAGCCAGGCGGAAACGTGCCGATTGGATAAGCTCTCATCATTGAATCGACCCGTGTACCACTGGTGAATGATGCAAAGCTCGACGTTCGTGTTTTCACCGGCAAGGAGGTGCACAAGGACTTGGGCGGCGGATTCATGCACTGGGGCAGCGCGTTTAGGGAAGAACTTGACATGGCTTAATAAGCGTGCGGCTACGCTTGGCCGGAGAAGTAAAAGATCAGCAAAATTGGCGCGAGTCCCCGGGAAGAAGCTGAGTAGTTCTTCAATAGACTCAGAGACGAGTGGTGCGTACAAAAAGAACGCTATCTTACGCTATGGAGGAGATGGAATCGGCCTTCTTGCACATCTTCACGAGTGCACATGAGTTCTGCAACAGGCGCAAGAGCAGTACCGACACCTATAAAGCTCACGATCTCTATCTCATGGCGTTGAGAAACGCCACGGGTGCTTCGGCGTTGTTTATTCCGAAAGAATCATGATGCATGTGAGTCAAGAGCTACGACCGGTCCTCATTAGCCAGTACGACCGCAAGAGGACCGACTCTGTAATTCACGCGATCGGGACACGAAGTGAGCGTAAACATACGAGAATAACGACGAACGGACGCCTGCCCAGTGAAAACCGCAGTAGACGCAGCGACCGCCACGACTCCGCACTCGGACACCAGAACGTCCAATATCTGCAAGAATGCTGGCCATATCGCGCGCGTGTGCTTAAGCAAAGCGAAGAACGACCGCGACGAGAAGAAGCCTCGATGGGCGCTCGCTGGAATTGTTCCAGGTTGTCTGACGGAGGAGGATTGGATCGTTTACTCTGGAGCCAGCACCCACCTCACCTAACACAGGAGCATACTGTTTGACTGGGTGTGACTTTGCCTGACAAAAGCACATAGCGAGTGACGCGACGCGGCAAAGCGCGGCTGCGAGTGGCGGCGGATGACGAGACGTACTGGATCGAGCTTCGCGAATTCAGCAACGCGCCAGAGCTGTCCATCAATAGCGTCTCACTAGGCACGTTTAATACAAGGCTATTGTCTCGCCGAAAAGAACAACTGGCACGCAGTGGTGATCGACAACGACGTTGTGATGTACTCCCAGATCAAGCAAAACCTGCTGTCGTCAACCGTGGGATCGCGAAGCAGCGAGCAAGCGAATTGAAAGACGTGATAGTGCACGCGATCGGTCAGTCGCAGCCGCCAGAGTCAACCGTGCGCAAAGGGAGCCTGATGAGCTTACACAGGCATTTCAGGCACCTGCGCAACAACGACGTGAAACGACTCGCCGCAAACCTGGCAAACGGACTCGAACTTACTGACAAAGTCCAGGAGAACTTCCTGACGTGCGCCGAGGGCAAGCAGTCCAAGTCAGCACAGCTTAAAAGGAAAGAGACCTCAACGCGCCTATCGACGAGGTTGGTGTGGTCATTTGCAGCAACCTCAAATGCCCCATTACGCCCATGGAAAAGCTAAAAACGATATTTGATTAATTTTGCCGACCACTAATCCAAATACACGCAATTTGTGGCGAAGTGCAAGGACGAAACCGCGAAGAAGTTCCAGCATTTCATGACCTTTTAAGAACAGTTCAACGTCCGAGTCACAATTCAACTGCCTAGCCACATTTTGCGGACAGACGAAGAAGGCGATTACCGCGGCCTCGACCTCTTCTGTCAGCAGACGGGCGCAGGCCTACAAAGTACTGAGCGCAACACGTCAGCCTTGAACGGGAAAGCCGAGAGGATGCACCGGACTATCATGTACATGGTTGTATGCATGCTCTTCAATTGTGGCCTGCCGCTCGGCTACTGTTGATGCGCCGCAGTATACGCGACGTAAGCGTAGGATCGAATGCCGACTCACATCAAACCAAGCCTCAAGTCACTTCTGGAGATGCTCACGAAGAAGCCAGTGAGTGTTGTGGGCGTGGTGGTATTCAATCTGCCTTGAAAGGTGTACCAGAACCTGACAAACGCCTCGTTGGGCAAACGTGGAGCGCCGGGGGTCATTCTCGGCAAGAAAGAAGAACCAAGGGGTACAAGGTGCTGAACCCTGGTAAGCCAGTCGTGGTTAATACCCGAAACTAGAACCGAATCGAAACGCTCACTGCTGAATATAAAAGCAGCTGATACAAGTGTTCGAGTCACAAGCTGACGACGAACTCGAGCAAATTGCGGATGAACGAGAAGTTAGTAGACGACGGGAGGAGTCAAGCGGCGAGCGCTCAGCAGATCGAGCTGTTGCAAAGGCCACGTCGAGACCAAGACGACACCCAAGCGCAGAAGCAAACACGCGAGAAAGGTGAAACGGGTCAAAGTCCAAGTCAGCGGCAAAACGCCAAGCGAAGGCGTCGCTACACACGGACGCAAAAGAAGAAGTGTCAGGCGAAGATGATGATGAAGAACGCCGGCCGCGAACGTCAGGGCGAGCGAGAATGACATCTGCAAACGTCAGATTGTAGTCTCTTCCAAGCACTTGATCAATGCCTCCCGCTACAAGACTTGCCTTGTATCGTTCGATGGATCCACTGCCGTTCATCTTCTTTTTGATGACCTACTTGTTGCAAAGCTCATGCATGTGCTTCTCACGCTTGACTGAATCGAAGTGTAGTTTGACTAAAGCGAAGCGATCTCTACGTACATCGCTTGAACCCAGAGGTGCGATTCTGGTAGTGCGTGCGACGCCTTGTACATCTGGGGGTCGGGCAATTTGCGTACTGATTCTCCCCATCACCCAAGGCGGAAATTAGCACTGACCGAAGCAGAAAGCAGCCGACGCTTCAAAAGAGACATTACGACCCAGACCTAAGGCGACTGTGGTCGCGGCAGCGCAGTTCCGGTTAGTGCTGATTTTCGCTTCAGGGGATGAGGAGGATCAGTACACAAATTGCTCGACCCCCAGATGTGTTGTAAGTGCATGATGCACTGGATTCGACTCCAGAGATTCGACCCATGATAGGGTATGTCTAGAATGTTCTTTAGGGTTCTATGCATTATTATAGGTCGTACGGCAGCTAGACGTATGGATAGTTCTCACTTGTAGATTGACAAACCACTGATGAGGCCCCCGGCGGGGGGCCGAAACGCGTCTGGTGCGCGGTAATATACAAGTCATTTACTTTACTTAACTCTTACTCCTTACAGGTTATGAGCCCAAGTGCTCGCTGCAGACACCTCACCAAGGACCAACTTGTGCGAGGGACACCCCGTCAGAGAAGGCGCTCGATGCACGAGTAAGGCGCCGAAGAATTCATCGACAGGGATCGTTGACGGTGCGCGTGCAGTCGAAAAGGGTTTGTGCAAGGGTGGTGACGCGAGATGGTCTGAATGCGCGAGTGCTATCGAAGGAAGAGTCAAGTCAAGTGGTGACAAGTGTATTTGTGGTCAAGAAGAAGTGGAAACTACATGCAAGGCGAACGACGACTACGAGATGTCAAGATGTGACATGGTGCTGGACGATGGGGGAGCTGGAATACCTGGAACGCTCGGTATCATCGAGGTTGGCTGGAGCGCAGGGGCAAGACTCAATCAAGATTCCCATGGTGCACGGATGCAGCAGTGAGGATTACAGGCGGGTCGATACCAAAGTGGTCTGCATCTCATGTCGTCGAGGGGGAGTGTTGTAAGTGCATGATGCACTGGATTCGACTCCAGAGATTCGACCCAGGATAGGGTATGTCTAGAATGTTCTTTAGGGTTCTATGCATTATTATAGGTCGTACGGCAGCTAGACGTATGGATAGTTCTCACTTGTAGATTGACAAACCACTGATGAGGCCCCCGGCGGGGGGCCGAAACGCGTCTGGTGCGCGGTAATATACAAGTCATTTACTTTACTTAACTCTTACTTCTTACAAGATGTACAAGGCGTCGCACGCACTACCAGAATCGCACCTCTGGGTTCAAGCGATGTACGTAGAGATCGCTTCGCTTTAGTCAAACTACACTTCGATTCAGTCAAGCGTGAGAAGCACATGCATGAGCTTTGCAACAAGTAGGTCATCAAAAAGAAGATGAACGGCAGTGGATTCATCGAACGATACAAGGCGAGTCTTGTAGCGGGAGGCGACGATCATGTGCTTGAAATAGACTACAATCTGACGTTTGCGGCTGTCTTGGAAATGACCATTGGCAAGATTATTCTTATAGCCTCCCGAATTTGGAACATACGAGCGCGAAACTTTGACTTCCCAAGCGTATACCTTAATGCTTTAAGGAGGAGGAGATCGATATCTACATGCGCGTTCTTTGTGGCATGACGATCGGCAACGATCAACTGTGGAAAATCAACGCGGCAGACTCCAGAGGGACCTACCTACGCCTGATCAGGAGACTTTATGGTCTCAAACAGGAAGGGCACTCATAGATTCAACTACTTGATTTAACACTGATCGACGCAGGATTCAAACGGTCAGCCACAGACGTATTCGTCTACGTGAAGACCACCAGCGAAGGCACGATAGTAGTGGGAGTGTATGCTGATGGATACTCGCTACTGCGACTAGCGACGCGCCACTCGACACTTTCGGCGCAGAAATTCAGAGTCTGGCGTGTAGTGCCTCGGGATCGTCGAGTACTTTCTGAATATGCGCTTCGGGTACTATGACACGCACGGATACGCCAACGACCAAGAGAAAATGAATACGGAACTTCGCACAAGAACCGACTGGCGAAGGCGAACGCGGTGCGGTAACTAGTCGATGACGAAGCGTCGATCGATTCGGAAAGCGCCGAAGACGACCCTCTTCCAGCGCGCAGTTCAGGTACTGCAGAGCGACCGACGATCTAAAAATATCAGAGCTTTGTTGGGATCCTCCTGTGGGTCGCAAGATGCAGCCGACCCGACTTCGCGTATGCAGTACACCGCCTGACGCTCCGCAGCCGCGCGCCAAGATACCACGACATTTAGCTAGCACGATGAGTGCTGAGATTCTTTGCTGGTACGGCTGCGCTGAAACTGCGCATGGGTGGCGCATCGATAGGCAACGAAGTGCCGCTCACCAGCTACACCGACGCGAATTACGCGGCCGACAAGGCCACGCGAAAGTCGATCAGTGGTGCGGTGCTGCATGTCGACGGGATGCCCGTCGGGTGGCAAGTCAAGTAACAGTCAGCAGTCGCACTCTCCACTGCGGAGTCCGAGTTCGTCGCAGCGGCTGTAGGTACGAAGGAGCTTATGGGCGTGAAGAACCTACTGCAAGAGATGAATGTGAGCGTGGAGCTGCCAATGCAAATGATGGTGGACAACCAAGCGGCGATAATCAAGCCGATTGACAATGAAGCTACGTCAAGCGCACAAAAGCATGTCGACGTGGAGATGGAGTTCGTAGGTGACACGAGCTCCAAGGGCATAGTGAAGCCCGAGTGTTAGAATAGGAAGATGCCAATGCAAAATGTAGAAGTGTTATTGTCGTTACCAAGTTTCTACCATGCTTCCATCTCTTCGACACCAACCATTTTCGCCCTGATTTTACTACACCATCCCAGGATAGAAACTGCCATTCAACTGAAGTGGTCGGCCGACTGCCACGTTTTTGCAGCGTCTACTGCTTCTTCAATACTCCTCCTCGGACGACGCGCTTCATCCGGTCCACCTGCAACATTCAAACAAGGTTAAACAATTCGCGTAGCTCCGCGACCCTTGGCGCCGGCAGTGTCTTCGTCAACAGGTCTGCTTTCATCAACTTCGACTCGACGAATTCAGGTTTGACGATACCCTTTTTAGCATAATCGCAGATGAATTTCATCCGCACATCCACGTGCTTCGCACTCGCCATGCTTCCTTCAGACTCTAACATCTTGATTGCTGCTTGATTGTCCATTAGCATGCTCATTGGCTCCGTCACAGGAAGTCCAATCTCCTTCAGCAATTCTCGCAATCCCAGCAGCTCTCGTCCAACGTGCGACGCCGAGGTAAACTCGGCCTCCATGGTAGACAAGGATACTCCGGTCTGCTTTTTGCAGATCCAATGCACGATGACTCCACTCACCGTAAGTACTCCACCGGTTATTGACTTGCGGTCGGACTTATCTGCCGCGAAGTCTGAGTCACTCCAACATGTCACCGTGATAACATCTTTCTCATCTTCGAGGCTCATCTTGAGTTTCATGTCTTTTGTTGTCTTCAGGTATCTCGCGACGCGTTTTGCCAGCTTCCAGTCGCTGACAGTGGGCTGGTGCGTACGTCTTGTGGCTCTGTGAACCGCGAAGCTAATGTCAGGCCTTGAACACCGGGCAATCCATAGAAGGCTACCCACTAAAGACTGAAAGTTTCGGACAGTAGGCTCGCCTTTCTTGCCCCGATTTGCCGACAGGTACACACCTTCTGACACATCGTCGTTGCTGTCGTCACCGATGGGCGCCCTCACGCCGTTTGCTGCATCCAGACCATGTTGATTTAGCATCTCATCGATCGCCGTAGTCTGATCGACAGTGTAAGTCTTCGAGTCCTTTAGAGCCATCCTCATGCCCAGGAACTTGTTAACTTGACCCAAATCCTTAATAGAGAGGACACTCATCGCTTTAAAGAATTCTTCCACCTTGTCCTGACTTGTCGCTGTCACTAACAAATCATCAACATATACCCCGACAATTGTCAGCTCGCCTCCGTCGTGTCTGAAATACAGACATGCGTCAGACACGCATCGACTAAAACCAGCCTCGACCAGTTTCGTGTCCAGCAATTTGCTCCAAAGACGACCCGCCTGTTTAAGGCCGTAAAGCGACTTTTTAAGCCTGAGCGCCAGTTTGTCGCTGCCTTGTGTTCCAAATTGCTTCAAAATCACATCAGGTACAGTCATGCCTTGAGGTATGGCAAGAAAAATCTCCAAATGTTCCTCTTTGTTCGCCTTCACGTAGGCGTTAGGTATGTCACCATGTCTTGCTGGTACTCCCCAACGTAGGGCAAGTACCAGTATGACCTTCACCGTGCTCAATTCCATCACCGCAGCAAACGTCAACCCGTAGTCGACACCGTAGACCTGATCGTTCCCGCATGCCACAAGCCTCGCTTTGAAACGATCGATCTCTCCCTCTGCGTTCAACTTGGTTTTGAACACCCATTTGGTGTGTAGGACATGGCTTCCCTTGGGCGGCACTTCCACCTTCCACACATCGTTGTCTTCCAAAGCTCGCAGCTCCTCATCCATTGCTGCCACCCACTTATCTTTTAAGCCGCTCTTCATGGCCTGACCGTAGGATTTTGGGTCGCTCTCACGAATGACATTCACCACATCCGAAACCTCCTCCTCTTTTCGTTCTGCATTGTCTTCGCGTGACTTTCTCGAAGTCGCCCTCGTCACATGCGCCTCTCGCGTCCAGCCACCAACTTTCGAGTGGTTTCTTCTCATCGCATCATGAACAGTCGCTTGCGTCTTCTCTTTCTGCGTCGAGCCATCGCACGCAACTTCATCAATCTCCTTCAGATGCACACGCCGTAGTTGATCGTTTTGTTCCTTCGTAAGGGTTTCAACGTTCTTAACATGTTGAGTTACGACCACGACCTTGTCCCTTGGAATGTACACACGGTACCCTTTCACTTCATCGCTCTTGCCTATGATCACGCCTTGCTTGCCACGAGCTCCTAGTGACTTGTTCTTCGCGTCCTGGTGCGCAGTGCACGGTGACCCAAAAACCACAATATCACTTAAAACAGGTACCTTCTTGGTCAACATCTGTAGAGGTGATAGGCGACCAGCGTTGGCTTTACTTGGGCTTCGATTCAGTATGTAGGCCGCATACTCCGCCGCATCCCCCCAGAAGCTCAGCGGCAGTCCGCACGCAAACACCATGCTACGCACCATATTCATAATGGTGCGATGCATCCTCTCGGCCTTCCCATTGCTGGCTTGGTTGCTTGGCTCACTAATTTGCCTCGCAATTCCTGTTTCCTTGCAAAAGAGGTCCAGAGTACGATATTCTCCTCCGCCGTCCGTTCGCAGCACGTGAATGCGACAATTAAATTGCCTCTCGAAAAATGCCATGAAGTGTTTAAACTTTTGGGCCGCCACGTCTTTGCTCTTCGCCAGGAAAACTCTGCAGTAGTTCGTGCGATGATCCACAAAATTAACCATGTAACGATTTCCCAATCTGTCGCGAGGAGTCATGGGACCCTTCAGGTCAGAGCAGATGACTCCTCCGATAACATCAATCGGCGCATTCGTGCCAGTGTCTTTTCTCGACTGCTGGTTCTTGGTCTGTTTACCTTGAGCGCAAGCTAGACAGTTCTCACGCGTTTCATCGGTCAGCTGTATCCCTGAGGCTGGATCCTTTGCCATGCGAAGGATCGTGTCATAATTCAGGTGAGCCAACCTTCTGTGAAAGTGCATAAGCGTGCCCCGTTGCACGTCTTGACTCACTTCGAATTCTCCTTGCGCTAAAGCCGTCATTAGTATGTCCGATGGTAGCTGAACACTTCCGCGATCGTGGTCCCGCACTATTAGCACGTTGTTCTTCTTCTCCACGTCAAAGACAACCACCCCACTGTCAATGTTGCCGACGACCCTGCGATCACCCATGTAGGCTATCCCAAACCCTTTAGCCTCCAATATACCGTAGGATATAATGTTCCTTTCGAGGTTCTCGGCATATTGCACGTCCAGGAGTCGCACTTTAGTGACCTTGCCCATTACAGTGGTCGTGATTGTGACGCTTCCTCGCTTCGTTATGCGCAAGGGCCCTCCGTCAGCTGCGATACACTCGCTTTGGCAGTCCTCTGGGTTCTCGAGCATGCTCACATCGTTTACCAGGTGACGACTCGAGCCACTGTCCAGTATCCAATAGCCGTGGTTAGCGCTCGGGTTGCCCACTGCGAGCACAAAGTCCACGTCGACGCTTGTTTCTCTTGAGACCTTGTTCCCCGGGCACGCAGCTTTTATGTGTCCAGATTTCCCACAGCTGTAGCACTTGCGATTGTCCTTACGCCCGTTTCGTGTCTTTTCGCGCACATGTCGAACGTTGTTGACGACGTCCTTTCCAATGTGCTTTCCGCGCAGCTCGATCTCCGTCGACTGCGCGAAGTGAGTCAGCTCCTCCGCTTGGCGCAAGTAATCAATTCTTGTTAGATTCAAACGCGCCAGCATTGAAACTCTCATTGCCGGATCAGCGTAGTGGACTATGTTGTCTTGGACCAAGTTGTCTGCTCCACCGCATGCCTCGCTTACTGCGACCAAATACAAATAGTGTTCTGTCCAGCTGCGCTTGGGGCTCTTGGCAGCAGTAAATAGCTTCATACTTTGCGCTGGCGTTATCTTAGTTGCGAATGTATGAAGCAGCCTTTGCATGGCGTGTTCCAATGTTGGCTCTTCTTGCCACCACCCTTCAACTTGGCGATTATAGTACCGCTCAGCCATTCCCGTGAGATTGTGTCCAAGGACGTCTATCTTGACATCCTCACTCCACGGAAATCCGCTCGCACGCTCAGCAAAAGAGACTTCCCGTACAAACTTCTTCCCCCAGGATAGAAAACCGCTCCCTAGCCCCTGGTAAAGCTCTTTTCCATCGAAATGACGGATGTTCAGCTTGCGCTGTCTAGCGTCCGGCACTCTCGCATACGACGGGACGTGCTGCGGTATCTGCGCCTGCTGGCACACTGGAGGTGGCACAAAGTGTTGTGGTAACCCCGGCTGCGGCGCCTGTGCCCTCTCGACGTTCTCAGCCGCCCTTGCATACCCCGGTTGGTTCATCCCGAAGTACGTCCCCGGCGACATATGTGGAGAAGGAGCCCTCGGCTGTGTCACGTCGAGAGCACGCCGATTCATCGGTTGCCCCAGGCCTATTGCTGACCCGAACACACTGGACTCCTTGTCCATCGGCTGGTCCTTGGTCCCTTGTGACGCCTCTAGCTTAGCCATCCGCTCCGCTAGTCCCGTCAGTAGGTCCAACATCCTTTGCTCCGTGTTCCCTGGCACCGCCTCTGCCTTGACTTCTAAATTTTCGCCTTGTAGGCTGCTGGCCCTTTCGCGACCAGTCAGTGCCCTAGGTTGCGCGCCAGTTGCACCAGCGGCATCAGTATCACCGTTTGGGCTCATAACCTGTTAGAATAGGAAGATGCCAATGCAAAATGTAGAAGTGTTATTGTCGTTACCAAGTTTCTACCATGCTTCCATCTCTTCGACACCAACCATTTTCGCCCTGATTTTACTACACCATCCCAGGATAGAAACTGCCATTCAACTGAAGTGGTCGGCCGACTGCCACGTTTTTGCAGCGTCTACTGCTTCTTCAATACCGAGTACATCGCGAACAACGAGATTATTGCGGTCCTACTAACGAAGAGTGTCCCAGAGCCGAGAGTCGCTGAGCTACGTGAGACGATGGGATTGCGGTGAGTGCGGTGCTGCAGGAGGAGTCTTGGAAGTGAAGACACGGCACCTGACGAGAAAGGTGGAGAAAATGTGCAAGAGAGAGACAGCAAAGACAGGTGTGCAGTCCGAACAGCTTTTGAGATAGTGAGTCTCAAGACTGTACACAGCGCATAGTGAGATTTAAAGTAGATCTGTGAGGACTGTACGCAGCGCATAGTGAGATTAAGAGTAGATTGTGAGGATCGAAACTACACAATACAGCAGTATGGAAAGCCACATCGACTGAGCACTCGATCTTCCTTTGCACGCGGACACAGAGCCAACACGCTGTACCAACAAGAGTGGTACCCTGTGTATACTGGTCATTGGCGCAGTTTACGGCTGCGTGATAAACTGAAAAGTATCTCGATTGTTTGCGTGATGAACTGAAAAGTATCTCGATTGTTTGAATTTCTATCACATTCTGGTGAAACTTGTATATCCTGTCACCTTTTGCAATTGCCCCTTTTTGTGATCTCGCCTTAATTTGGCAAAACCTCCTTCCTAGTATCATGTTTCACTTGTATCCCAGAGACAATCACGGCTCAAGCTGCGTGGCCATGAAAATTGATAGGGAAGAGCAAAAGGTAGCTAGTGATAAAAGATAAATAAGGGAACGAACAATGCTCTGCGCTTTTGATGAGGCTTAGTACCAGCTATTCAACCTCATGTGTGATTCACTGTAGAAGCTTTTTCTGTACGTACTGCACTGATGCCTGATCCACCGCCAACCAACACTGTCACTAAGTCCTTAAAGAGTGCAGCAAATGCAATTATCGAGCATGGTCGTTTCCAAGGATATGCGACGCAGCGGATGAGATTGAGTTTATTAAAGAGCATTATAGAATGCGCACAGGGTGATCGAAGTTTACCGTGCAGCATTGTTAATCACCAATATTTCCGCTCTGCTCTGTACCTGGAAACGCTAGAGCTACAACGAGGCACGCACTTACTAGATGGCAGGTAAGCCTTATGTTAACTGAACGCAAGGCTACGTGCTCACGACGTCACGTACACGTGCCGTGAGAGAGCGCAATAGAACTTGGAGCTCTGTTCGGAAAAAAGTAGAACTGTATTTAGCACATAGAAGTTTCTTTGTAAATCAAATTATCTTGATCTAACTATGATAAACCACAATCTCCTATGTGGGTTTCTTGATCACCACTCATTGCGTGCGTCCAGCAGCGCTTGGTGGATAATTTGGTTGATGTAGTGTCTACATCGACCAAAACTGGAGCACCCCAGAATAGTGATAATACTTTAGAGTTAAACTTGCGATATACTGTTGCAGAAGTGGTCAAATACACCAGTGAGCAATTGTATTGAGTGGTTTGTTAATGCTCTCCCTAGCTGTTGAAGCTCCTTTGCTCTTCGTATCCACTCATCATACAATTGAATCGTATACACGTTAACCGGTCCTTGTGTACTTGCACCATGACTATACATCTGATGCAGATCGATCCAGCCAGTTGAACCGTGACTGGAAAGTTCCTTAAGACAATCTGTAGCCAGTTGATTTGCGCCTTGATCTCGTACTCGATTACCTTCAGCAAATATTACCCTCGGGGTTGTACACTTTCCGCACTAAGTACGATCTGGTATGTCCCCCTCCTGTTGGTACAGGTATATCCGAAGCCAATCACAAGCATCCAAATTCACTCTTTCGCTAGGTCACTATTGTACCATAATAGTGATCTAGTGAAAGAGTGACTTAAATGCTTGTGATTGGCCTAAAATCAATCAAAGGTGAATATTATCACATGAGCAAATGCCGGACGCTTATAAGCAGAGGCTGCTTGCGTTGCCCAAGTGAACTGTACTAGATTAACACAAACATTCACAGCAATATACTCATTCTTCAGTGACTGCTTTTGTATATCGTTTTGCAACTTGATTCAGTTCTTTGAACTGAAATACTTACATCAAAGAGCGAGCTCCAGAGTTTGCTCCCCTATCCTATCTTTTATCCAGCGGGTGTCCACGTAGCAAGAAGGGAGTGCCTACCAGGTCAGTCCTTTTGCTTATTGATACACGTTGGTATGCAACAAAGCCACATTACACATTAGGCCACCACTGACTTTTGGGTCTGTAGTGACAGCTCGTAAGGAGAACCACCTGCGTTCGTGCTTTCATTTCAGCGGCGATTTCCAGTGAATGCAGCAGCTCCACTCGACCTGACGAGTATCGAGCGGATAGCCGGTCTCCGGTACCTGAATCATAGCGAGCTGTGCCATCATTCGCCCGGAATCAGTCGAACCTCAACGTGCGCTTGTGTTCTGTATTGTCATCATCGAACGAACAAAGACAGATATGCAGTGTCGCAAAAGTAGCAGCGTCAACAAATGGTTTTTTGAGCGAATCCTTCGTCAAAGTTTAGACGACTACATCTACCTCTGAAAAACCTAGTCCTGGTGTCAATAATCAGGTGTGTTGTAAACTGGTTGGGCGAAGTAGCACGATGACTCACACGAGCCGACACTTTTGACAAAGCTAAAGGAAAGATTCGGATACTGACATGAATATCGTCTTTGTCAAACAAGCGCACACACCACAGCTAAAATAGGTCCTTCCATAAAAATCACGCCACCCAATTGTACCCATTTCTGAATCGTGCACCTCCACCACTACATTCACACGACCCGGACAGAGGCTTCGCATCTATCTGCCTCATCCATCGCTATTGCTCCATCTGCCAGTGCCTTCTCCCCTCTACATGGACAAGAAGACCCCCTCTCAATTCGTCTTTCGCTGTCACAGCAGCCGCTCCCGCCGTCACGCCCAGTCCATGGTGCACTGGAGTTGGCTACACGCGACTGCCTACTCGTCTGCGATCGTAGCCTCCATTGTCTACATGCACAACCAGCTGACGATCTATTTCCGGAGCTTTGAAGCTCAACAGGTGAACAACGAGCTGCTGTACAACCTGTCAAAGGTCGCCACGTCTGGCATTGAGCAGCTGAACGGACTGCATCTCGTGCTGTCGGACCTGGCGTCCAGACTTCGTTGGCTGCTGGTGGTTCTATCGCTTGCAGTGTGGATCATGACGCTTCTGGTGTCCCGTCATTGCCACTTGCACTCACTGCTTGGCATTGTGTCCAATCGTCTTGGCTGCTACGTGCGCAAGTTTCGTGACTGGAGTGCCAAGGAGAGACATGGTGGCAAGCGCCATCGTCATCGTCAGAAGCTCAAGCAGTATCCTTCTCGATCAAGTGCTTGTTTGGAGACCTGGAACGAGGCGGACGTGGAGGTTGATGAAGATGATCTGCTGATCGTGTCGTCGCTGTCACCTGAGCCACGTCTCCTTTGCAGTGTGGAGAAGCAGGTCAGTGATGTCGACGAACAGGGGCAGAGTCGCTGGAATACGGGAGAGAAGGGAAGCGTCAATAGCGTTTGCTGTAATAATGGTCAAGGTGAACTAGCTGGCAAGATCGTGCTGCATCCACGAGAAGGTGCTCGAGGCGGACGGAATCAGAACAACCAGATCATCACGGACGACTCGTACGTGAGCCGGCTGCATTTCCAGATCCAGTATGACCCGATGGAGAAGGAATACTATCTTCAGGACCTTGGAAGTACCACCGGAACGTTCGTGTTCCTCAAGCCCGACGCACCCAAGCGTCTGCATGTGAATGACCGCGTAAAGTTGGGCGACACGGAATTTGAAGTGTCTGCGATCAACGAGACGATCACGACGGGTATGCCGTTCTTGCACATCCGCTTCACAGAGGGTCCACTCACTGGTATCTGTCAGACCATCGGCAAGACGTCCGTGACACTAGGGCGGTGTTCAAGCAACGCCTTGTGTATCACCGAGGACGACTCGATCTCAGGCAAGCACAGCATGATCTCGTACTTTGGCAATGGCTTCTACATTACGGATCTCCACAGCACGAACGGCACGGCCATTCGTCTCAGTGGAAGTGGCAGGAAGAGCCGGCGCCGTTATCTACTACACGGGGACGTGTTCGGCGTGGGCTCCAATCGATTTATGGTGGAATACTCCCATCAGTTAGCAGCCCAGCGTCGACTCGCGAGTCATGAAGAAGACGATGACCGACGTGGGGAAGTGGAGTCTTAGGCAAGAAGGGCTTTCTATTTATCACGTTGCGTCCTTACAGCAGCGTTTCATCATGCCGATACCACAAGATGGTTGTAATTCTGGCCATCGACAAAAGACGATTGGAAAACAAACCTGCACAAATCTATCGGATACTTTGCCCAGTGTTCGTCGCGAAACCGATGCCTCTTCACAGGAAGACAAAGCACAAAAACGAATGGGCTTATTTCTATCGGCGACACACACAAAAAGAGTACACGTAGATACGTTTGGGTATGTTTGAAACGCTCGCTGGCACTCGCTCGAGAGCTCCACCGATCAGCTGGCGCGTTTATCCGGAAAAGGTTTACCTCTCTAATCGCATTTCGAAAGGTGGCTGTCCGACCAAGCAGCCAACCAAGGAGGGATAGCTGCCAAGCTCCTTCGGCTCCAGTGCTTTGTAGCGTATACCCGCGCTCCGCAATGGCGACACCCAACGTGTTGGAACAAGAGATTGAGGCGAGTGTCTCGTTGTTGCATATGCGACATCCATCCGGTACCGTCGTCAACCCTATGCTCACAAAAGACCTCCATGCTGGTGGTGAGAATCGAGACGCTTTGCACGCTTCACTGTTGAAAGTAGTGGCGACCCAAGCTTCCAACCAGTCGTCGCTGCGGCAAAAGATCTACGTGCACAAGAAGAGTGCCACACGGCTCACGGCGTTGTCAAGGGAGCTCACGCTCGAGGAGCTGCGCCCGCACTTTGGTCAACCGATTGTGGAAGTGGCACGGGAATTCGGTATCTGCACGACGTTCCTCAAGAAGTTGTGCCGCCAATGCGGTATCAAGCGCTGGCCACATCGTCAAATCCGATCGTTGAACCGTACGATTCAGATGCTGGAACAAGTGGAGTCGGCGACGACGAGTCCAGAGGAGAAGGCCACGTATGCGGCGCAGATTCAGCAGCACAAGGACAAGCAGCGTGCAGTGATGGAAGACCCTGATGTTACCGGTGGGTTGAAGAGAATGAAGAAACCTGGTACGTCTAAGAGTGCTACTGAGATCACTTCAGCACGTGCTGGTCGGGACAAGGAGTCGTTGCAGTCCGGGGCGATGATGCTGGACGGCGATGCCAAGAACTTGTTGGCTCTTGCTGTTGCAGTGGACGCCGTGTCGAGTTGTATCGGGAGCAATGGAGCTGGCTTAAAGAAGGCAAAAATGAATCAAGAGGGAGCTACACCGTGGTCATCATCGCTCGGTGTACGCATTTCCTCCCCGGATATGTCGATGACACCCGTAGTGTCCTCGCTGACGACGCCATTGCAAGCGGCTGCTGTAGTTGCAAGTCGGTCTCTGAAGTCGCTCAAAATGTCTCCAACGAATCGAGTTGCGATGGTGAAGCATGATCCTGATACTGGGAATCGACTCGGCAGCTTTTCCATCGCTCGTTTGCAGCCTCAGCACTTTTGTATGGAAAAGCGTTGAGTGACAACGACAACGTGACACGATGGCAACAAAACAGTATCACATGAAGAAAGTATCTGAATTAGGGAGACTCTAAATCTACAATTTCGCACTTGGTTGTGTTTAAATCTAGTCTGGTTCAAACGGCCATTCCCACGCTCTAAAGGCGGTTCACGAAACGAAAATGGTCACTGAGACGGCAAAGACCGAGGCCGCAGACCAGAGCAAGTTGTTGTTGTTCGAGTGTAACATATGTCTCGATACGGTATCGAGTCCAGTCGTGACGCTGTGTGGCCATATCTACTGGTAAGTCTGCATCAACTGAAGAATAGATCGCATCGAGGCTCCTCTTATCTGCCCGAATTCTCTGACACGATCTATTCGGCTGATTGTCTCCAGTTGGCCGTGTCTGTATCAGGTCCGACGACAACTCTATAGGGTGGCTCTTGTATGTTGTCTTGTTGACGTGATTTTTTCATTGGTGTATAGTGGATGCAAAACCACTTTGAGTGTCCTGTGTGCAAGGCCGGAATAAGTGAAGAGAACGTGATTCCCGTGTACGCAAGAGGCGCCGAAGCTGTCGATTCGCAGTACGTCGACGATATTGTTGGATATGGCTGTCACTGCGATGACTGATGATGATGTGGTTATTGCAGGACGTACCAGCAACTGTCAGACAGGGGCATCCCCCATCGTCCTCAGGGCCAGCGACCCGACGCTGAGCAGCTTCGACGACGACGACCATTCAGTGTACGCAGGACAGTGTTCATGTAGCAGTTTTACGTGGACTGATGTTGATTGGATGCATTCGATGCTGTCCACAGTTTGGCATTTTTACTGGACATGGACAAGGGAATCCATCTACTGTCTCGCCTTCTCTCGGTTTCTCCACGGCGCTATTCGGGATTCCATACGTAAGCGGGTGTTTTATGTACGAAATTCATCTTGGTGGTCACTTGACATGTTGTTGCTTTTGCGTTGCTGTCTATGCTTGGTGTAGCAACCGCCGGCACCTGGTGTTAATGATCAAGATGGCACGCCCCAGACAACACAAGAGGCACGGCAGCAGATGCAGCAGGCGTTCCTGTCTCGACTTCTCTTGCTCATTGGCATCCTTGTAATCCTCTGTGTCACCACGTTCTAGTTCGATATAGCTACAATGCAGCAGCCCTGCAACCGCTGCTTTCCTCAAATGATTTATTCCGTGCTATTTCACACACGACACAATGTTTAACACTTGCAGATCAACCAGCTAAAAGCTTGTCCTTTGTTTACATCGACACCGACTCAAAGCTTGTTCTTTGTTTACATCGACCCTTGCACCCCCCCTCATTTCGCTACTTCTTCTTGCTCTTTTTCCAGCACAGCACACACGTACTCCAAGTTCCCAGCAACAGCATGTAGGTCGATCTCCGTAGCAGCTGCCCATTCCGCAAAGTGATTCATCTCCTGCACAAATGCACACAAAAAGATGAGAACCGTCCACAAGTGTCAAAAGAGAGAGAGAGAGAGAGAGTAAAGCCGGATACTGATGACACACATCCAAGCTCGAGCGAAAGCGTTTCTGCTCCGACTTCCACTTGGCAGCACGTTGACACATCGAATTCACGTTCTTCAAGTACGCGAGCGCTTCCTTCTCCACATTCCGCTGCTTGTCAATCGCGTCGTCCAGTCGCTTCCCCAGCAATCGACTCTGCGCCGCCTTCAACGCACCCAGAGACTCGGTCAGCTGCAACTTCGCATGCACTGAACATGCACTTATCAGCTACCATCGATACACAGGCAGATGAGACGTATGCAATCGCTAGCAGGCACGAACCGGCGTCGTCGCGGTGCTGTTCCAGACGCGCTTTCGCCGACTTCGCCTCGAAAGTGTTGACGCTACTCATGTTTGTCTCAATAAGGGACTGTATCGCTCGAGATAGAGCTCGGAAATAGACGGTACAATCACCCGATCAAGAACGTAACCGAACACTCGCTTCATTGGTCTCTACTGTCCCTCATTCTTGAATTTGACACGTCAGACACAAGTCGGTGGACGAGTTCTGATTGATCGCCATGGCGCGCAAAAATGCCAAAAACCTCAAGTCCTCGAGTCCCTCTACGACAAAAGAGGTGGTCAATCAGGACAAGAGGAAGCAGGAAACAACCAAGAACGAAGAGGAGGAGGTTTTTTCTGCCCCTGCTTCAGGCGTCTATGGCTGGGTCGTGAAGCTGTTGGCTGTGGTGGCAGCGCTGGCGGTGACCTACTACCTCCGTGAACTGGATGGGGAGACGGTCCGTGTTGCCCGTTATATCGCCTGCAAGGAAGCGACGGACCATTTGCGGCTCAACGTCTCGTGTGCTTCGACGCTGGTGCGTTTGTAGCGCCTACAAGAGAAGAACAAGAAGCTTGTTCACATACAGAAGGGACTTGGGGCCGCGTTTGTGTTTGCTTACTTGTTTATTGTATGGTGCTACTTTTTTATTGTGTTGCTGTTGTTGATAGGACCCCGAGCAGTTCGTGCTGGGGTGTCACCTGCCGAGCGGCACCATGTGCGGTCGCGTGGTGATGGACAACTTTGTCAAGCCCGAGCAGGTGACGCAGCTGCGGGAGATTGCCGAGATTGGGATGGAGAGCCGCTCAAAGATTGGTGGGCCCACGATCATGGACATCAACACGGGCTTTGTCCGCAACAGTGAAGGACTCGTGAACATTTATCAGCCGGAGAGGAGGATCCCGAACGAGGACAAGCCGGGCATTAAGCGCTTCACCACGAAGCAGTTCAACCTGTATCGCTCGTAAGTGCCTCAACGACCACTGTTGTCTCACTTAATACGGAGGTAGTGAAATGGATAGTTCTGACTTAATCGTTGGCTGCTGGTTTTGCTGGGGTCGGGCAACCTCGCTGCTGACAGTGTTGTTCAGAAGATTCGTCGAGCAGTGATGAAGGAATTTGGTCTCGAAGAGTTGTATTTTTCGGCTCCTACGTTTATGGCTCGTTTGATTGGCAACGACTCGTGGACGCCTGCTGAGATTCACGACGAGTACTGGTGAGTCTCTCTTTTTGTGGTGTTTGTGTCATGTCGGACGCTGACAGAATGTGCTGTCTACAGGCACCCGCACGTGGATAAGGAAAACACGAGGCACTATGACTACTCGAGTCTGCTGTACCTCTCGGACTTTGACGAGGAGTTTACCGGTGGACTCTTCTCGTTCATTGACGAGGACACGGAAACTGTTATTGAGCCCGCTCGTGGTCGCCTCTTGATGTTCACGGCTGGCTCTGAAAATCTGCACGTCGTGCGCAAGGTGAGGACGGGCACGCGCTATGCGATGAGCATTTGGTTCTCGTGCGATGAGAACAAGGAGTTCAAAAACTTTCTGGACGGAACGATGCACACGCGCTTCAGACGCACATAGAACGGAGACTCGACTCCAAGACCGCTGTACGTGGCACTTGCGTATACAAGCGAGAGATTGTCAGTGACAAGAAGATGTCTAGCATAGCCACGACCGTGCAAACGAGGCTCTTTGAAGCGAATAATGATCAGGACTGATTCGTGAACTCGCCTTCTCGCCTCGTTCTCACTCATATGTTGCGATTATGACTTCTGCTCCATGCTCCACTATGTACAAGGTTGCTTCCTGTGGCATCAAGGAGTGCTTGATTGCTAACCATGCCAATCAGCTGCATTTTTACGGCTCGTCAATAGCAGCACTCATTGCTCTGCAGGATGACCAAGTGTGTCTACCCCTTTACGCAGTGTCATATTAGGTTGTATCATTAATATTTAGTTTCTTGCAAGTTTCGTAGGAAAGTCATACCTCTCGCATCGCTGGTATAATTCTGCTGGACATGTTACGGAGCGTGTAATGAAGTGCCGTGTAAACATCCTAGTTTTCTAGGATTGCTGAATCCGGTAGTTAAGATGACGATTATGATGGACACAGCTCTTTCTTCACCCGAGTTACGCACGAGCTCGTCTGTTTAGCGTGCATTTTGTCATCCCAGTAAAAAGAGCACATAGAACTCCGTGACATGTGGAATTGTCGTCTCCAGCTACAACATAGCACAAATGCCCTTGAAAAGCTTAGTGCTCGAGTATTTACAAATCACAAAGCCAACTGAAGTAGGTGAGAACGTTTAATGTATGGAGTGATGCCCTGCAGACTAAGACTATCTGAGCACGAGAACTTGTTACTTCGACGTTAGTACACCTAAGACAAGTCTCCTGCGTCAAGATGTAGTGAGCACATCCTCCAATATACGAGATTAGATACCTATCGCACCGATCGTCGTGAGTTGGGACCTACTTTTTTCGATGTGGTAGATGTGCCAGCATGTTCATAAGGGTTCATTGCAATCGACCCAGTTTAGGAGCGTGTACGAAGTCATCAAACAAATGACACGAATGGGACCTGGCAAAAAAATAAGCCACCTACGCATCCGCACAGAAATCAAGTCGAAATGAGACAACAAGACTTGCTGTAACGGGGTGAATCGTTACATAACAATTTATAAGAAATTGTTAATAGAATATAACTATAAGAGTTATATTCTCAGAATATTGTCATAAGGACAAATATTCTGTAGCACTTACGAGTAGTTCCTAATTGGTTGATATAGGCCATTATATCAACCAACGAAGACGCGCCACGACAGACGCACGCAATGAGTGGTGAGCAGATAACTGATTTACACATTTGTATTTAGACATAGTTAGATGAAGATAAATAGTGATTTATTGCAGACATTAACTATTATAAATACAGTTCTACTTTTTACTTTAACCAAGTACTCGCTTCTTCTTACCGTCTTCCTCTGCACGTACGAGTGTACGTGAAGTTACGAGGCACCGCCTTATTCTGTCATCAGAATAAGTAGCTTGTACTGTCACCAGTACAAGCTTCAGGGTGCCCCGTTACACCTGGTAGCACTTCGTAGTCCGTCCAAGGACCGCGTTTGTAACGGGGTGAATCGTTACATAACAATTTATAAGAAATTGTTAATAGAATATAACTATAAGAGTTATATTCTCAGAATATTGTCATAAGGACAAATATTCTGTAGCACTTACAAGTAGTTCCTAATTGGTTGATATAGGCCATTATATCAACCAACGAAGACGCGCCACGACAGACGCACGCAATGAGTGGTGAGCAGATAACTGATTTACACATTTGTATTTAGACATAGTTAGATGAAGATAAATAGTGATTTATTGCAGACATTAACTATTATAAATACAGTTCTACTTTTTACTTTAACCAAGTACTCGCTTCTTCTTACCGTCTTCCTCTGCACGTACGAGTGTACGTGAAGTTACGAGGCACCGCCTTATTCTGTCATCAGAATAAGTAGCTTGTACTGTCACCAGTACAAGCTTCAGGGTGCCCCGTTACACCTGGTAGCACTTCGTAGTCCGTCCAAGGACCGCGTTTGTAACGGGGTGAATCGTTACATAACAATTTATAAGAAATTGTTAATAGAATATAACTATAAGAGTTATATTCTCAGAATATTGTCATAAGGACAAATATTCTGTAGCACTTACAAGTAGTTTCCTAATTGGTTGATATAGGCCATTATATCAACCAACGAAGACGCGCCACGACAGACGCACGCAATGAGTGGTGAGCAGATAACTGATTTACACATTTGTATTTAGACATAGTTAGATGAAGATAAATAGTGATTTATTGCAGACATTAACTATTATGAATACAGTTCTACTTTTTACTCTAACCAAGTACTCGCTTCTTCTTACCGTCTTGCTCTGCACGTACCAGTGTACGTGAAGTTACGAGGCACCGCCTTATTCTGTCATCAGAATAAGTAGCTTGTACTGTCACCAGTACAAGCTTCAGGGTGCCCCGTTACACGCGTCGCATCGACGATGGGGAAATGCAAGTTGCATTTGCCCAGTCAAATCTGGCAGGACGTGCCAAGACTTGGGCACTGGGGCTCAAGTTGCACGACCCATATGCGTTTGGGTCGTTGGAAGTCTTCAAGTCGCGGCTCAGACAAACGTTTGAACCGCCTAGAGCTGAGTTCAGAGCTCGAACCGAACTCTTGAAGCTCAAGCAGGGTAAGCGTGATGTACACGCTTACGCTCAACATATACGACATCTCACGAGTTGTATAAGTTCCAATCCGGTGGATGAACACACGTTGGTTTCAGTGTTCAGGCAGGGTCTTGCGGATGGTCCCGTCAAGACTCACCTGTTCCGGCTTGAACTAGATTCACTAGAACAAGCCATTTCCATTGCGGAGCAGGAAGACTTCAGTCTGAGACAGGCTCGCGCCAGCTCGACATCATATCGTCAACCGAGACGATATGACAACGGAGGTCCAGAGCCGATGGAACTATGTTACGTAGAGAGCGAGAAGGCTCGCTCTACAGGCTACAAGAAGTTGCAGAGATGCAACAGATGTCAAAAGACAGGACACTACGCTTACGAGTGTAGTGCCCCTCGTCCAGTGTCTCGCGACACTGGGCGTAGTGACCGTCCACCCATGAGAAAGGGGCAGGGACGAGGGGTCCGCTGTTGGTGCAAAGACGCAACAACGGGATGGACCGTCAAAAAACGGACAGGATCAGTAGGTGCGGAGCACCCTACTGATCCAGCAACGTCAAGAGAATTTGTAGGCCTCTTGATGAAGGTTGCTCCCAACACACAAACGTTGTGCGTTGCTGCTCTAGGTAATGAGGTCTCACTCATTACCTTGAAACTCGAAGTGACGAATAAGTTGTCCCTTCGAGCTCTAGTCGATTGTGGGGCGTCTAACAATTTTGTGCGACGTCAATCGCTAGAAGATGGTCACTTCAAGTTCAGTGAATGTGACACACCTCCTACGAGGATGAAGGTACGTCTTGCGACAGGCGCATCCGTAACCGTCATGAAGCGTATAGTGAAGATCCACTATACGCTAGAAGATACCCAATATGACGATGACTTTATCGTATTGGATTTGGATGACAAATTTGATGTCATCCTTGGAATACCGTGGCTCAGAAGGTACGAACCACGGGTAAACTGGCAACATCGAACAGTAACTATGCCTGCCGCTTGTTCATCAGATGGCCATCTGATGAACGTTTTGGAGCGTCCACAAGCGTGTGGATGTACTACGAGTGAGTGCGATGGCCTCACTTGTGGTACGGTCGTTAGTACGACTGCACAAAACCTTAGTGTACCAAACGGTTACACTTCGGAGCAAAGTTCCGGCGGCTGTGAGGAAACACAGGCTGCGCCGAAGGTCCACCACTCGAATAAGTCGGGTGGACTGGGACAAAGATGTATCCCTAGCGGGGAACATCTAGAAGAGAAACCATCGATCGCTCAGGTTAAGCGAAACGATAATCCTAGATCGACTGGAGAGTCTTTCGTAGAGGATCTCGCTGTGGTTGCGCAACCCCAGCTAGAGGAAGTAAAGGGAATAAGTCCCAAGATTACATATACGGCGAAAATAAGTTCCCCGAAACCCGCGGGAATAAGTCCCCGCGGGAATAAGTCCCCGGGAAGACGAAGGAATAAGTCCTTCGAAGCCTGAGGGAATAAGTCCCCAGGAAATGACAGAGACATTAAATGTCATAGTCAATAACGGATCAAGTGTAGGCGCTTATACACTTGATCTGATTGCGCCTCCGAAGTTAACTTCGGAGATCACTCAGTTGCCAACGCTCGAACATAAAAGGTTCTTGCGTGATCTGCGTAGTGGCAAAGTCAAGCAGATCTGCATACTCGTCGCTGACGACGAGTGTGTAACCGACATAAGGTCAGCAACAGTGTTCACTGAGAACGAGAGAGTTCTCAGTAGTTCATCTATGGACGAGAGTGTCCTAGATGAAAAGACGCGAATTGAGCGATATGACTCCCAATCGTGGGAATCGCTCAAGAAAAATCCTCTCTATGAAGATTTGGTTGAATTCAAGGATGTATTCCCTGAAACTGTTCCGTGCGAATTACCGAAGGATAAAGGTATTCGACACGAGGTCGAGCTTAAACCAGGCTCGAAGTACTGTGTCATGAAGCAGTGGCCACTGCCTCGTGAACAAGTACTTGCGATCGACAAGTTCTTTGCCGATCGTTTAGCTGCGGGCCATGTGAGGGAATCAACTTCCCCACATAGCTCTCCGACCTTCTGTGTGCGAAAAGCAACAGGAGGGTGGCGGATAGTGCACGCGCTCAACAAATTGAACGCTGCAACGGTACCGGCTCAGACGCCGATACCGAGGAAGGACGTAATCATTGATGGTATGTCAAAGAGTACCATCTTTTCGTCCATGGATTTGATGGATGGCTTCTATCAAATCCTTATGCGGGAACGGGATATACCCTATACCGCAGTTAGCACGCCTAGCGGCATGCTCTGGGAATGGCTAGTAATGCCACAAGGGCTCAGTAATGCCCCTGCC